ATATTGTTGCAAAATCCGACTATCCTACTCCTAGCATACAAAATCGCGATATTCCAAACCCTAAATCAAACAGAACGTCCTAAAACTGGCTGTGAGTTTTGATCGAGGATTAAAGGCTGGTTTCCATGTGCAGTCAAGAAAATTATCCTCCAGACCATACCAGACAAAGGTTTCTTTATCCGTATTTTTAAATTATCCGCGGAATAATTTTTCAGTCTTAAGTCGATGGTCGAGTCGAGGTTCATATAAGTCTAATAAAGTGAAAGTCGTCCAATACACTCCGGAAATAGACAAAGAACAAAATAATTTTACCCAATGTCGATATGGGATAAAACTTTCCTAATCATGTTTTGAATAGTATACTTTAAATATTCGTTGCTATATATGGCCCTTATCATACGCACACGTTTTAATATATTTAACCTATTATCACCTGCCGTTCATTGAACGCATTCAAATTAGCTTGAGTCTTATCCTTATAACTATAGATGAACTTTTAAAGTAACACGTCAGGTAGTTTCATAAGCCCTATCGTATATATAATATACAGCAATTCCTATAAAGCTGATATCTAGACAAACTTGGCTCGTTTAAAAAGGATAAAAACAACAGCTTTAATATCGGTAGGTATACTAAATACATATATATGAGATATATATATATTTTGCTATATACTATATCGAACTGCTATAACTTGTTGTGACACATGCAGGCGCCGCTGTTCGTAACATTTAGCCGTCTTTTAAACTAACTTATACACTGTAAAAACTGATAGGTTAAAAAAACAAAAAAAAATAGGTTGTTTAGATGAATCTCTTTCGATGAAAGGTTTGGGCTTTATAGACAATATTTCGATAGCCTATATATCGCTCTATCAATCTGACAACAACAAAACACGAAGCCTTCTAGTTTATAGTCGTGTTATACATTCTGAGAAATCCTGCGCGTTACATCCTGAGTTTAGATTAGCAGAACGAATTGGATTTTTCCAAAATTAGGGCAATAAGCCATATAAAATATCCTAACGCAGAGTTTACGATACGCGTATATGTGTAGAATAAAAAATCTCAAAGAACATGAGTATAAATCTCATAAAATGGCGCTTGTTTCAGATAAATATTTCATGTCAGTTTATACATATATATACATATATATATATATGGCACGCGGTCTCGTGACTAAAATGGCGTGCGCTGATTGGTTCATTGCCGGTCTGGAATCTCCCAGTATTAGACTGTTGCCGTAGTAGCGGTCCAACTCTCATATTTTTGAACAAAAACAAGCTTGCACTTTTATTTTTGACACGAAAAATATCGACGGAGAATAGACGAAGAAGAGCATTATTTGGTACATGTGATTATTATCATTTATAGACCTGGAGCGAGGGGAATTCGACGAAATATTACCCCCAAGGGAAGATATATCCCGAGGGCTTCGCCCGAGGGATATATCTTCCCGAGGGGGTAATATTTCGTCGAATTCCCGGAGCGGAAGGTCTATAAATTATATATTATATCGAAACGCCAATATGTAATGTAATAATGTTACCAAAATGTAATATAGCTTCTTTTGCCTCCATTTTGAAATTGTTGACAACCTCAAGTCGTGTGCGAGGCATCCACGCGTGGTACACGCAAACTCGAATACCCCGCTGCAGCGGGGTATTCGACTTTTATAGCATAATGTGAAAAAATTCGATGGAACTCCATGATTAATTTACTGATCACGTGGTACAAATCGAGCTTTCTGATTGGATGATTTACAGTTGAGATATAATATTTATATTCATTCATCTTTGTTTTTGTTTATATTACTGTATCATTCCTATTTAACGAGTAAAAAACAAAGTTTTGGAAGCCAATTCAGTGCTTGCTTGGCGACTGGCTGGCGAAAGAGCCGGCAAGAATGCTGCAGCGCATTGTATAAATAAATAAACTGAATACTGTATGCCATATAATAAATCCCTTATTAACCGAATACGTTCGGTCCGTACTGGAAAAATATCAGACCTCGGTTTTTTAGGCACGGACCTCGCTATCGCTCGGTCCGTACTGTCAAGACCTCGGTCTGATATTTTTCTAGTACATATACATATATACATATACATATATATATATATATATATATATATATATATATATATATATATATATATATATATATATATATATATATATATATATATATATATCCGCCCGTAACTCAAAAATATACGAAATATACTTTATTCCTATACTTGGTATGACTATATTTTATAGCTGTGCTTTAGATTTTTTCTCTTTGTGTTACTTAGATCTTAAGTTGGTCTATTATGCAAGTGGTTCATTAACTGGAGTGAAATTTCCCAGCCTCATACACGCACGTGAACGTCTATATCCTTATATTTGTCATATTTGAAAGAGCTGTTCTGTTTCGTTTAACACATTTGTCTACATAGTTCGCCTAAATTATAGTTTGTCGTGTGTTTATACTCAGACGAACGATCTGTCAGACGGACTTTTCGTTCAGAAGGATCATTCGTCTCAAGTATAAATCGGGCCACTATCATATTATTAGACTTCCTGGGCGTCCAAATTGCTATGCTTTAAAATCGCTGACAGATCATTCGCCTGAGTATAAATACAAGACAAACTATCTCTCGATGAACTATGCTGGCGAATATGTTAAACGAAACAGAATCGCACGTTTAGTGCACGGAAACTGGGAAATTATTTAGGTGGTAAAGAGAGTGCACAAGAGCCGTTTTATGACAATTTTTTCCGTAGTTCGCCCCCACCTCCTATTTATACTAACAGACGGATGATGCGGCAAGACAAACTATCCATTCAATTAAATTCGTCTAGCTATAAATAGACGAACTATGTGAATAACTCGTGTTGTCGGATGATTTGTCTGTTTGCCCGTGTTTACACACAGACGAACTACACGCAGGGCCGCCCAAAGGGGGGGGGGGAATTTGCCCCGAGCCCCCAGATTGCAAGGGCCCCCTAAATACTACAAGAATAAAATTAAACTATTGTTGGGTGTATATAGTCCTCTTTCAGAAAAAGTTTCGGGTTATTTATAGTTCAGGTCATGCAATATATATTCAATATTGCAAAAATCTCTCAATCCCTCAAACGCAAGAGTTTTCTTGAGGGAGGATGCTCCCAAACCCTTCTAACTGTGCCCTATCACCAAATGTCACCTTTGATACCCCTCTCAAGCTTCATGTCAAGGTTCGTGTATTATCGCATTACAGTACTGCAAATTTACATGAACTTACTACGGCCTTTTTTATTGCTGTGGATTTTGGGCCGCTACGAGAATTTTGCCCCGGGCCCCAAAAATTCTCTGGTCGGCCCTGTCTAGACGAATGATCCGTCTCTAGTATAAATCGGGCCTATGACAACCATGTTCGCTCGGTGCAGCACGATGTTGCTGTTCTCATCCTCCGGGACAACTTGAGTGCTTTGTTCTATCGTACACAATCCCGACAATATCATTTTGGGTGCGTAGGCCGTAAAATCAACAGCAATCTTGTACATGCTTGTAGAATCACTAACTTTTAATCTTCGTAAGAAGTGGAAAATACACAGCTAGATGGAGCGTACTATTGGTACTAAAATTAGTACAATTTCAAATTTAGATGCAGAATTTTGTGATATTGCGTACAATATAGTCATGCGTAGTTGACAAACCTTATTCTTTTACATCACGAGTACAATCCAATTAATCCCAAATGATTGCATGGGCAATATCGCGTGATTATTTTATTATTATTACAAATGCTAAATCCTGAACAATTATGCTATAAATGATCATTTCCTTCGTCTCATATAACTTCGGCAATTATTTCTTTGCAGAATGTAAATGTCGATTGTAAACTAAAATTTAAATTTCGCGCTCTGCAGAATTTCTTTTTAGGAATGTTCGTTTCTTTGAAACTTTTACGTCAGTGAAAAAATTAAATAATGACACGAAAAAAGCATGAATTTTAGTTGCAAAGCACTGGCGGCAATTCTTGCTGTATACGAGAAGAAACTAATTTGTATTTTATTAATTTTGACTAAGAAAATAGAGCAGCAAGTATTACAATGGCCCAACCCCAAGTTGAATGCAACGGTGAGTGCTGTCCAATTTATCGTGGTGGTCAATTCATTGGACATATTAAAAAACGTGAAGGGCAACAAGAAATCCTTGGGACACAGGGTCAGTTTTGCGCTGCATTCTATCATGTTCATGAATGGGAAAATCATCATTATCATTGTCTTGACAACGCAAATTGTGAAATAGGAATTAGAGCAAACAATCCAAATGAAAGAAACCCGCGCTTACAACCCAAACAAGTCATTGCTGTTGTTAGATTCGAAGATGCCCAAGGGCATACTCTGTATGAAGCAAGATACAGCAACTGCGTGCCAGCACAAATGCATGCGGAGGATTTCTTTAGGAATGACGTGATAAATGGAAACTTGGCCGATATATTACAACAACAAAACGGTGGGAAAATCACCATGTACCTGACGTATCAACCTTGCAACAGATCCGTTAGTCTCCATGGAACAGCTGGCACTACAGCGGACAAAACCTGTTGTGTAACACTCACGAATATCTTCAATGATATTCTGAGTCCAAGAAATATAAGTTTGTGCATTAAAGCTACCCACTTGTATCGAGTAAGCTTTCAACAAGAAGCAGGGGATAATGAAATTCTCCGACAGCGTGCTATACAAGGAGTACAAAATTTAAAGCAGATAAATAACGTGAGGGTCGAGCACATGACACAGGAGGATTGGAATTATCTCTCCGGATTGACCGCTGCTGACGTCACACAAGGTAATGAACAGCGCGAAAATTTAGACGAATCTATCCAGGGTATTCTTACACAAATATAACCAACTCAGCAGCCTCCATCCGTAAACACCTAAAATTCAAGGACGGTTTCCAGGCCAATCGTTATAAATACATTACATTATAAATACTACATAACTTTTTTAAATACATTTCTATTTAGTATCTCGTATAAACTATGCAAATCAGGTATTTTAGGTAGATATTAACTCGAATAGTATCCATATTTTAGATGGTAAAATTAATTATTGAAAATTGTTGCTACTGATTGGTCAAAAGACCTATTACGCGGGTAATCACCTAAGAAAATTTTTCAAGATGGCGGCGAGTTGTTTTTGTCAAAGTGACAGATGAAGAAACATGTAATTTTTAAAAAAACGCTTTACCTAAAAGCATATAAAAAGCGTACAAGATTTTCCCTAAAATTATTTCGAGGTAAAAACCACGTTGCAAAACGCTACTCTACTCTATTTCGCTTGACTTTGTCTCGCTATTTGGTATTCACCTCGCCTTCGGTAAATATTAATTTTGTTAAGTAATTTCTCCTTGATTCTTAACATTCTTGAGGACAGATGGGAAATTGAATTTGAAATAAGTAAGTAAATAACAATGTTGATGACATATATATAATACCGTAAACAGCACTGAAATATTGTAAACAAAAACAATGTAAGATGAAAGATTGCTTTGAGAATGAAATAAAGTCGAAATATCACCGTAATTGTTGTCTTGTTTTATACACATCTTGTATTTACAAGATGTTGTTTTTCAGAAGATGTTTCGTCCTATATTGCATTAAATTGTTTGCTGGTAAAGGCACACGAGTTAGTCGCCTGGAAGGACTTAGTTCTAGCCAGAAACCTTCGACCTCGCTCAACAAGGGCAATTTTCACTTTTATATAAATAAGGAAATTTATTGCATTATTGAGCTTTTTTGGTCGCTCTTATTTATTATTTAACCGATGACGAACCGCCTTGCATATTGACGTAACAGAACGTAGATTTCGAGAAGAAAAACTACCTTTAGCATACTTCCGGTAAATTATTCCAGTAAACGGCCCGTTATGTAATTCCTACTATATTACAAGTCAATTCTGGTTAATACCAGATAATATCTACGACGGCAGATTTGCAAGATCGCCACTAACGCGGCTGCAATAGCCTTGAACATGCAGCTATCTTCTCGATTTTTTCTGCCAAGTACCATAGTTTTGTCATCATTTCGTTTATCATGCGCCCGCGTTACCCCGAGACAGAGGCAGTATCCTCGCGAGCATGCCCAGCAACATGTGATATGAACTGCATACGATCTTGTAGTACTGGTCTCAGACTGGCTATGTAGTGTTGAATATCCTGTTTTATAGAATCCCCAACAAACATGTACTTAATATGATAACTTCAAATAATTAAAGAAAATATTTTTGAGCTGTTCTGGAATGTCTTAACAGTATTGCCGCGTTTTCGACCCAAAGAAACAAATTGTTCATATGCATGGTAGAAATGACTACATTATAAGGGTGGAATGAATCCGTGTTGAAAAAATTCAGAACATTGTATACATGGGTATAAATACTGCCTCTATGGGTCTAAAAATGTTCATATATATGGGTAAAATGATGGTGATAGAAGTGTGCTTATACGTATAGATCAAGTGCCCTCATATGAATAAAATGCCCACATGCGTGAAATGCCCTTATAGGTTGAATATCCTACAGGTTAAACGCTTATATAAACACCCTAATAGGTAAAATGCCTATACGAGTAAAATACCCACATAGGTAAAATACCCTTATGAATAAAATGCCCCATAGGTTAAACCCCTATATAGGTAAAATACCCATAGATAAAATGCCCATATGAGTAAATCGCCGGTATAGGTAAGACGTCCTTAGAGCTAAATTTCCCTTATAGGTAACGCCTATATAGGTAAAATACCCTTATAGGTAAAATACCCGTACGGGGAAAAAACCCTTTTAGGGAAAATGCCCATATAGGTAAAATGTCCTCATACGTGGAACACCTATATAGGTACAATACCCTATGAGTAAAATGCCTCGGAGTAAAAATGCCAATACAGGCAAAATTCCCTCATAGGTAAAATGGTAGTATTATATTATCCATATAGGCAAAATTCCCATGTAGGGAAAATGTCCATATGGGTGAAATGTCCATGGGGACATGGGTCCTCACGGATAAAAACGAACGAATATCTCTACGGTGATTTCCATAGAAAAATCGTTGTTCTTCATAACAGCTCACAAAAGGATACAAAAAGTCGCATATGGTGTCGACGTGATAAAGATGAACACATTTCTTGTCGACCACATCCAAGATGGCGTACAGCTCTTTAGCAATCTAGGATGTAATATGAGTAAAATAACTCTTTATGATCTCAAACAACTAAGTGTTTTGCCAGATTCAACTCTCAGGATTAGAGGCTGATTACATGAAGTATTTTCAATCCCGTGGTTAAATTCAGCCCTGTTGAAACTAAAATTTCATGCAACTTGCAATAGTTTTTTACGTTCTTCGTTGTAGAAGCAACCCCCCCCCCAAAACTGACCATAGCAATTGCTTTGACTTACCTCGAGCAAACATCTTGGTTTCTCCGTGTAGAAACGATACAAAAATGGTCCAAGCAGTCGACAAACGAACAGAAACTGTGCTTCATTGTGAATTAAAGGCTTGAAATTTTCCTTCAACAATCTGTTAATAATGCAAGATATTTTCAATGTATGCCAAACAATATATCCACCGCGAAACCAACAAACATTTTAATTTAAAAAGCAAAGTTTAGACAAAATTTACCAAATGAAAACTTCCTTTGTGAAGAGATATATATAATAGCTTATATACGAAAAAGTAGTGACAAGGTGAAATTGGTTTGATATTTCATAAAAACCAAACTGAAATGCAGGAAATGTTTCGCGATAGGCGTATTTTTACAATTTTTGAGTTAAAAAGAAACGGAAATGGACAGGTTTTGTGCAGGATATTTAATGAATTATTTCTTACGTAGTATAAAAGAGCAGTCATTTAGCTTTCCAATGGTACCTTGCGTATTTCATTACAGAACGAAACGATCAAATACTTTTAAAATAAAAATTATTGCTCAAAATTGGACAACAGACAAATTTAGGGTCATTGAAAAAAAACACGTCATTCAGCTTTCGTACAGCCGTCCCCGTAGACTATTTGTGTACCTTGGGATAAGCGAGAGATGGCCCAAACTAGAATGATACCAGACCGCATTTGTAAAAGCCACAACCAGGTCTGGCAATGTCAGGGCGCAGGCATCCGCGTTGGACTGGAAACTATAGAACGAATATGGAAACGACGATGGCGCCATCGTAGCATCGGGCGAAAAACTGGCTGTAACTGGAGTGACATCTTTTACTGCAAGATCAGCGGTGAGAACTTCCGAGATAAGTTGCGGTAAAACCTTGCCGTAGGATTCCTGGAAATAAATAAGAATTGCTGTTATTTACGGGAGAACACCTGCACGTTATTTATACTGGATAGTTCTATCAGCCCTCAGGACAATTTTTTAGTGATCCAGTGTTACTACAGGAGGAAACCTAAAGTAAACTAACTATATTTACACTGGATAGCTCTATCAGTTCTAAACTGTTCTTCCTAAAGACCCAGTAAGGATAATCTCTTATTGATCCAGTGTTACTGCAGGAGGAAACCTAAACTAAATTAACTATATTTATACTGGATAGCTCTATGAACGGTTCTTCCTAGAGGTCCAGTAAGGATCATGTCTTATGCTAGCTCTTACTAAAGTTCTGGAAAAATCTATCAGTTTTGAATAGTTCTATCTGTTCTTAAGTGGTGATTTTTAATGAATAACAAACTTACAGGCAGAGAAGAAATGATCAAAGCGACGGCATTTATCCAAGTCTTAGTATTATTCAAAATTTCAACGCCTCGATTTGTCTCGCCACTGAAATGATAGAAAGGCAAATAAATTGCGGCAGCAACAAACCTCAAAACCAACACTAAACACCAACAGTAAATGCTTAGTGATGTATAGTGTATGGGCCAAACTATATGCTTTTAAAATATCACTACTCCCTAAAATCCCTAATATCCCTAATATCATTACTCCCTAATATCCCCAGTATAATTACTCCCTAATATCCATAATATCGTTACTTACCATTTATACAACACAGAGAACAGCGCATTACCAACGTCCTTGTCGTTGACAGGAAGTGACATCAACTCGACGCATGTGGCATAGAGCGCATGCGCAGACGGACTAGGGAATTCGTGGAAACGCCAGTCGAATTCAGGAAACGGCGAATTACCGGAAATAGATGCGCAATGTTAAGGAAATAAAGTTTGAAAAGCAAGATAATTGCTCAAATACCAGCTCACAGACATGCGTGCTACTATCGGCTAATTGCTCGCTAAAACGAAATGCTATTGGTTGATTCAAAAGCACTGAAACTCGAGCAATTCCCAACGACTGATTTAACGAATTTCAGGCAAGAAATGCAATCGAACCTTTACCATCGCTCCTCAAATTCATCAATAACTTACGGGTTTAAAACGGGATCAATCTTAGGGCGCTTTCCTTTAGGTGGCCAAAATGGTCAGACCGATCATATTTTGAATGAAATAGAATATTTCGTTAAGAATATAGCGGTGAAATTGCATTTCCCGCGCTAGGCGGATGTAAATAACGATATACTGGGATGCAAAGTTTTTGAAACACTCTAAAATATCAGTAATCTGTCTGTACCGTTTTTGGTCTGGCCGTTTTTACCGTATGATGGAAAGCGCCTTTAGTTTGTTAATAACGAGAATACCAGTACTTTTTAAATAAAGCAAATTGGGTTTACAATTCAGGTGTATTGCGGAATCAAATAACTTTAGCGTTTTCGGATCGTTTTTGTGTTTACGTGTGGATGCGGTTAATATTTTAACAGAGAATATTTTTGCGTTTTCAAATTCTTTCGATACCGTGTAGAGGGGGCCTTTGAAAAGTACAAGTCGTACCTTAAATAAAAATTTGCTGCTATGTTTCGGAATGAAATCAGAAGGTTCTATATTAAAGGATACTATCAACAAGCCTTCCAACAATTGCACAGTAATATTCAAGATTTGGTTTCAATTCAACGTCTGCCTTCAAATATTCCAAGAACACGTTTGACAAACACCTTGAGGATAATAAAAGATGTACGTTGGTCTCAAATTAAAAAAATATCAAGAATTTGGTGCTTGGTATTGCGCAAGATGAATACTAAGCACTTTTCTGATTATTAATTTATGTACTTAATCTCATGCACAAGTAAAAAATACAATTATGTCAGCGAATATTCAATCAAATTTACATCAACATACCAATTAGCTGGGCGAAGATTCGCAAATGCTCCTAAAATGTAAACAAATAAACGTTATGAAATTTTGATAAATTCGATTTTCCGGAACACAAATTGTGACATTAAGCTTTGTCAACTTTGGTAAATAGATAAAGTAAATACTGAAGTATAGTTCCATCTGGGTGCATTGCAATCTAATCGGTTCGAGACACTGGCAGATAGTTTTGTTTACTCAGTAACTGACATACCCTTCCATTTATGAGTAAACTGAATCATCTAGCATTAGACAGAGTAAAATACTAAAGTACGTCATGTAACGTAGTTAACCACGTGATTGGAAGATCACATGACAGTCGAACACGTGTAGAAATAGTGTGGATGCTAGCAAAAGACTAAAATAGATTATTGATATTAAAACTATATTTAATCACAATATACCAAGTTGTGCATGAAGTATATCACAGGTCATATATTGGGTGCATTGCAAGCTAATGGTTAACAAGGGTGTTCGACTATATATAAGTAATGAATGAATGAATATTTTATTTACCAGTTACAACGCTGACAAGTTTCTTTCTCGAGGCTTCCCTTTGATTTAAAATGCGATTGTAATAGTATAAGGTGTTGTATAGGTAAGTGACAGGACGATCTATAAACCCAAAGTAAGTTTAGATAAACCCAAAATGAGTTTAGATAAACCCAAAGTAAGTTTAGATGAACCCAAAGTAAGTTCAGATAAACCCAAAGTAAGTTTAGATAAACCCAAAGTAAGTTTAGATAAACCCAAAGTAAGTTTAGATAAACCCAAAGTAAGTTTAGATAAACCCAAAGTAAGTTTAGATAAACCCAAAGTAAGTTTAGATAAACCCAAAATAAGTTTAGATAAACCCAAAGTAAGTTTAGATAAACCCAAAGTAAGTTCAGATAAACCCAAAGTAAGTTTAGATAAACCCAAAGTAAGTTTAGATAAACCCAAAGTAAGTTTAGATAAACCCAAAGTTAGTTTAGATAAACCCAAAGTAAGTTTAGATAAACCCAAAGTAAGTTTAGATTAACCCAAAGTAAGTTTAGATAAACCCAAAGTAAGTTTAGATAAACCCAAAGTAAGTTTAGATAAACCCAAAGTAAGTTTAGATAAACCCAAAGTAAGTTTAGATAAACCCAAAGTAAGTTTAGATAGGCCCAAAGTAAGTTTAGATAAACCCAAAGTAAGTTCAGATAAACCTAAAGTAAGTTCAGATAAACCCAAAGTAAGTTTAGATAAACCCAAAGTAAGTTTAGATAAACCCAAAGTAAGTTTAGATAAACCCAAAGTAAGACTGGATTATAAATCTGGAAACTCGCTTCGGTACTGACCATGGAATTTATACAATCCTCCAAAATTGTGAAGAAGACTTTCAAGACCAGCGCTCACCGGAGGAAGCTCGATAAAGCGATGAATAACAACATCAAGAACCTATACAAAATTTGACAGTGATTTCTTGCTAACCGAGTCGGACCAGGAAGTATCGGACCGAGATCTTTCTGTGAAGACCAAACGCGGTTAATAAAAAGTCTATTATAAATTATGGCATAAGGAATTTATTTCCACATGAAAAAAACACAATAAATGCCTGAAATCGTATCTTATCGCATCGTATGATAGCATCAAACTGTCAGAGCGTGGTACACAATTATAAGGACAACAGAATGAATATATTGGATAACAACTTACTGGAAGAAATCTCAAACAAACATTTCCAAAATTCATCGGAAGATAAGCGATGTTATGTGAACTAGCTTTCGTCGCCTCTCGAAGCCCTTCGAAGTAAAATTTTTCGCCCCATTTCTAAAAAATAATCGCTTTGCAATTATTGGAAATATTGCTGAAAATCTAAAATGTGTTGTTAACAGACGAGCATGAATTCCGCTCCTGTAGGTGTGTAAAGGCTAGTTTCCACTCAGGAAAATTCTCCTTTGGATTGGACAGGACAGAAAAGTTTCCTTTGTATAAACGCCGCCTGAGAACTCACCGACAAAGGAAATTTTCTTGTCCGTTCCGATCCAAAGGAGAATTTTCCTGAGTGGAAACTAGCCTTAAGGGGTAGGGGTAGCCGCTGTGGTATTGACCACCTCACATTAATTTTATTGCTGTTATTTCTACGCCATTTTCTTTGGTTACCTCACAAATGGCCAAAATTTATTATTACCTGATGGTAAGCTTGGTGTTTCTGATGCCAGTCCGAATGTTTCCAATAATCTGGTGGAACCTAAAATCATTTCAAGATCTCGTTCACAAAAAGAGACTTTAAAGTGAAATCAAGTTAATTCGTATAAGTAAACAAACGGTTTGCTTACATTTTGAACTTCTTTACTTTTTTAAAATACAATGGCTGTGTTTATATCGCATACAGTTTTAGGTTAGCTAGGCTTCTAATTGAACGCATATTAAAGCGTCAAAATTTGGGCAAATTTTTAAAGAGAGGGTCCTCCATTGTTATGAGCAGAACCCGTGCACGGAATGGACTTGACTTCCACTTTAATTATTTAAAGCATTTAAACATTTAATCCACTGTTATATACAAAGACAAAAAACTTGGTTTACTTATGCATTCTAAACGAAGCGTTGAAACATGCATATTTCATGCTTCCTATTTATCGGTATGACACTCATTAATTCTTTCCGACTGTGTAGAAAACAAAGAAACGTCAGGCTTCGTTTCGACATGGTTCTGCATATTTTTTATGCATTGTTCGAGGTTAAAATGCGTAAACTTCTTAGTTTGAACTTGAACGAGTAATCCAAAATTCTTAATGTTTTAAACGTAAGCAAACCCGTGAAATCGTTCACGCTTCCTATTCGAACGCAAATGGTAGTATTATTACTACGCACATTTTGTGGTACGAAAGATGGTCAAAAGTTTCATCCGTATCAATTTTATCTACATCAAACCTAAAATTGTGCGTCGTGTAAATAGGGCCTAAGTTTTTGCATTTGAATATATAGGCAGGTCATAAACAAATGTGTAAACGTTTTAAAAACGGCATAATCTTCGCCGTGATCAGTGGCACCCTCGTTCCCAGGTCCTGCGTGCCACGTAGTTGGCGAAAAACCTGGGAACGAGGATGGATCGATGGATGAAATTGGTAGGGTAGTCAGTATAAAATCCGTACACACTTACTTCTTGGACGAATGTTTGAATTCTGTCTCTAAACGCAGGAAACTTCAGCAACAGAAAGTTTAACAAAAGATTGCAGACTTGTGCCTCTTTCGATTCGTAGTAACGTAACATCTAAGAATGAAAATTAAGCCAATATTGTGACCGAATCTTGGGAAGACTATATGACAATAATAATGAGAAACAGGGTATGAAAATGTCACGATGACAGGGGGGGTCATGTCGCAGTGCTCGGAAGCTTTCGTCCAATTGGATAATGCTTTTCTATGCCCTCTAAAGAACGAAGCTATGCTATTGGTTGAAACAAAAATGTAATGTAAAGCTTAGCCAATGAAAATTATTCTTGCGAGGAGCCGCAACCTTACCCTGACAGGAGATAAAAAAATCATAAACAGGCCTAACTATCAGAACAAACACAGTGAAGATTAGAATAATTGATTATTTAATTGTTCAATGATTTGATAAATTCATTAAGCTTAGCTGAGACATGGCAAGTTTTGATAAAATATTAGCAATAATCATGCTTCTTACGCCACTGTATCGTTTATTACAAAATTTCGAAAAATCTTACCAAACATAAGACAAGTCTGTCAATGCTAATGATGTGATATTTCCAAACCATATCATGAAGACACGTTATTCTCTGTTGGTAAGAAAACGAAAGAAATGAGCTATACATGCAGTACTAAAATAAGTTAGTTTAGTTTAGGTTTCCTTCTGTTGTAACAACACTGGATCAACAAGAGATGATACTTACTGGACCTCTAGGTAGACCAGTTTATAGAACTGATAGACCTATCCAGTATAAATAAAGTTAGTTTCGTTTATGTTTCCTCCTGTAGTAACACTGGATCAATAACAGATAATCCTTACTGGACCTCTGGAAAGAACAGTTTAGAACTGATAGAGCTATCCATGAAAAAGGTTAGTTTAGTTTAGGTTTCCTCCTGTAGTGACACTGGATCAATAAGAGATGATCCTTACTGGACCTCTAGGAAGAACAGTTTAGAACTTATAGAGCTAAATAAAGTTAGTTTAAATAAAGTTAGTTTAGTTAATGTTTCCTCTTGATGGAGTTATTCAGTATAAACATCAAGTTAGTTTTGTAGCCTAGAATAACATGGAATAACCCAAACCTTATTATGATCCTCAGAGGAACCATTTGAAAGCAATGAATAATCATGGACCAAGAAATCAGCGAACACTCGAATCTGTTTGCTCAGTGCTCGAGCCCCGAGCTTAACAAGGACTCTATAAGAAAACAGTAGAAAATAACAACGTCTCTGAGCAAAATTCAAGGTGTATTACAACTGATTTATTTCAGTTCAAGACAAGACATGCTAAAAACTAATGGCGTTGATACAAATGGGGTTGTTTTTCCACGCTGTTCAATAAAGCTAAACTTTTATCAAATGAAGTATTTTAGAAAAAAAGTACAACTTACTGCAGACAAATTTGATTAACGCGACCTGTTTCGAGAAGGCATTTCCATATCACACTAAAGAATGGGTTAAAAGACTTGCATATCAATGCTTTTAATACAATATTATTAATACAGCAATTGGAAGAGCTGCATTACAGTTGACAAGAAAGAGTTCAAGCGAGAGTTTCATCAACCATAATTACTTGATCAAACGAGAACAAGAGTAGCACGAGAGTTGTCAAGCGGGAGTTTACATGAGGGTTTCATCAACTATCATTGCTTGATCAAAGGAGAACAAGCGTTGCTTGAGAGTTGACAAGCGAGAGTTCACATGAAAGTTTCATTATCAATTGGCAATGCTTACAAACCAGTGGCTATACTTACCAAACAAAAATATCAGGCGAAGTTGCCTCGCCAAAATAATTTAAAACTTCGGCCTGGGATTTCATATCTATGAAGTAAGGAAAAAAGATAATCTTATAATGTATACAGTCTTTTCTCTTCCCTGATTGGGCGACACGAGTGGGACAACCGACGACGTTTTCCGAAGCAAAGCCGAGAAAAACTCAGCTGAATTGTACCTACTTTTGAATTTCTCATATTCCTGTTCGACTCGTTGCTTTAATGTATTTTTGCTCTCGACTGGAGCGGAATTTTGGGTAAAGAACTGTTGTATAGAATACGGAAAATGTTCGAGGGTGTGTTTTGACCAACTGAAAAGGATAAATAAATTTCAGCCTCGTACTCCGAATGTAAACAACATAAAACTAAAATTCTAGCTTTTAGACTGTTTCAACATACACGAAAAGGAGAAATTTCCTCTTAAACTATTCAGCAAATTTGCTTACATTTTTCAGGCAAATAATGAGAATGCCTTTATTTTGAACACTTTATGTAAAATGTACCTTTTTAACCGGTTGAAGTTAAAATTTAACTGATTTATTCTGATTGGGTTATTGAAAATGTAAACAAATTTTCTGAAACGAAATTCTGATTCTAAAACGAAATTCCTCCGTGTTACTTGATTTCCACTTGAATGAAAAAAATTCACGAATTCAAAAAAGGTCATACTTCATTTTGGTCTTTTCCATGATGGTTTTAAATATGGCTTCGTACCACTGGGAGGAATGCTGCTCAGCTCCTAAGAAATACCATAACGGTTGGTATTGATAAAGAAGAATACGACTCCTACATTATAGACGTCAATGGACACAATCAAAGGTACCTGAAATGTGAATAGCTCTGGCGATGTTCAAAACAAACATTCGATTCAGTTCTTCTGACTCTGACGAGACGAGCTGAATAAGTATCATTACATTACAAGGCTGATTATTGACAATTCTGTCCTCTGATTGGTCAAGCGATCTCGGGTTATTATGCGATAATCAGTTAAGGGGAATTTTTCAAAATGGCGGCGAATTGTTTTGGTCGAAGTGACAAGCTCAGTGAATATTTATCATCGAACAATATTTACCTCGCTTTCGGCAAATAATTTCGGCAAAATACAAATATATGCATTGGACATCAAAAATTGTATTTACATCAGCCTTGCTTGGGTGTAAATATTTTAGCAAAGCATATTTTAAGATAATTGTATAATGGCAGTTAAATAAGTAAACAGAACGTCTGTTTACATTACAAACTTTACATCAAGGTCTATGGAATATAGAAATATAGGTATTTACGTTTTAGTCATAATTATTGGATGAAAACTTACCACATTTGCATCGTGTTTTGTGAAATACGTCTCGACAACATGATTTTCAAGACCTTGAATCAGACGAAAGGCAGTACTCTCTAAACTGTAAAAATCAGATGCAATTTCCGTTTGCATTAAAAAGGTATACAAATTTGCAAACTTTGAAAAGCGATATTTTCCGCAGTTTACAACATTTCGCAACTAAACAAATTTTAGTACGCTCGTTTCAGTTGTGATTCGATTGCATTTCCTTGCATAGGTCAAAAAGTAGGCTATAATGCAAAGGTCTATTGAATATGCTGGGAAGCTACTCACCAAAGATGGAGTTGAAGATTTTGGTTGGTGTGTGGTATTGCTGCGATCGAGTGAATATGCGAGATGAGATGTATGCGATAATTTTGAGGTATGAACGGTAAGCGATAGCTGAACATCTCCAGCAAGTTGTGAAGAACTCCCCAAGCTTTGATCTTGAAGACTTGTGGAAGAACGGCACCTGGAACACAAACAAGGTTTGGTTTAATAAAATCATCTGCCATTGGACGGAGTAAAGTACGAAAGTAGGTCACATCTGGGTGCATTACAAGCTAATGGGTTAACAAGAGACACTGACAGATAGTTTTGTTAACTCATTAACTGACAGTACTCTTCTACTGATGAGTAAAATCATCTGGCATTAGACGGAGTAAAATACTAAAGTACGTTACATCTGGGTGCATTACGAGCTAATGGGTTAACAAGAGACACTAACAGATAGATGTGCTCACTCGTTAACTGACAGGACTCTTTCACTGATGAGTAAAATCATCTGACATTGGACGCAGTAAGCTAATAGGGGTTAACAGTTTTGTTAAATAAGTCTTGTTTAACTTATTACCTGGCAGTCATTGCTGACTGCTACAGTTGCTATATCCAGTATATTATGAGATCAGTGATCTAAACATGGCATTACCTACAACATTTCTGATGCCAGATATATCGTTCTCTGCCAACAAACGACTGTACGTTTCTAACAAAACGTGGGACAACGTTGTGTTCGGAGTTTTTACTTTGATAAGATTCCCAATATAAATAATCAACCTGTGAGAGTGTAAATAAACACTATTTTGACAAATATTTTGACAAAAACCCAGAGTTTCCACAATGCAAGGAAATTTCCTTCCAATTGACAACCATGCACAAGGGAGGGAGGGCTCAGTCTTAATAGGATGTATTATGCATTTTTTTCAAAAGTTCTTTGTTTTTCTCTTTTGTCATTGCTATCCCCCTATCAGGATGCAAATAAGTGGTGGAAACCTTGGATTAGACCCACAGTTTCCTCACGTTGCATCGTATATTAGAATGTAATTAGAAGCCATCATAATTGAGTTGTCAAGATTTGAGAAACATTTCTTCCTACCCCCTTTTAGCCGGGTATGTTAACAAATCGAGCAATTCAAGCGGTATTGGCGTCGAATGAGTAGCAGGCATTGGCTTGTTTGTTTGGGCGTTGCTTTTGCCAAACCACAGATCGGTGACGAAGCTAAAGATGGTGCTGACTGGATCTAAAAAAGGGCAAAAGGACTCTTGCGTTTAAGTGTAGATGATAAAGTGAATTAAAGTATTATCCATATGCAAACATATGGTTTATTTACATTTTTTAACTTCTATACTTTTTTAGTACGATGTGCTGTCTGAATATCAAAAGCCGTAACTAATGCCCGCAAACCAAGGTTACCAAGAATTATAATGAATAACATATACGTATTACGATTCGAGTCATTCGATAGCATAAATTAAAAGGGAACTTACTCGCATTCATAAGGAGAGCGGTATAATTATCCGTGCGGGTCAAAGTCCCCGGAGTTTGACAATGCTTGAATAAATGTCTACATCAATGAACAAAAAGCATACTTCACCAAACAATTAAATAATGAAATTCGGGGTTGGGTGGGGCGAAACACGAGATAGAATATTTCTTCTGAACAAAGCATATTGTATCTAATATATCTATTTGTTTTCATTTTAAGCCGGTTCTAAAGCAAATATATTTTCCATATATTTGTGAAATACATGGTTTTTGTGACTACCGCGTAAGCTTGCTTGCTTGTCTTCTTAAATGCTTGTCTTGGACTATGACGTCACACTCAGTACTACGTCACACAACTGATGTACGTCACACTCGGCAGTTTTTGCCATTTATCACCAACCATTCCGGTGCAATCAAATATGCAATTTAAATACAAATTATTTTAGTATCAACACAGCTTTTCTATATGTACGTTGTTTCGCTTACATTTTTTAGCTGTTTGAACTTTGCACGTCTTCCTCAAATATAATAATTAATATTTAAACGATACATTATGGTCTTCTAGTGTGAAAACAGCTACAGACAGTATTTAGACGACCTGCAGACCGCCGACAGCAGGCGATTTGTTTGTCTATAGACGATTTGTTCGTCTTCTGATGTGAAAACGGCTAATCGCTCACATTTTATGAAATTTGGGTTAATCAATACGGCGGATGCGTTGCAAAACCAAATGCAATTTCTATACTTTAATAGTAACATGTAATATTTGTAGATGTGAATGCTGTCTGCTGTAACTTTAGCATATAGCTCACATGCACAATCAGTTTCTGTAAATGTATTTATTATTAAATAATAAAGGAAGTTAATGTTATACGGGTCTTCGTATCGTAGTGTCTCGGGTCTTAGGACGCTGGTCCGGTCGGTTACTTGCCCCCTCCGGTGAGTATAAATATGAGCCCAGTTTGCCTGATCTAGTTGTTAGTTGCTTGCGTGACCCATCCCTCCCTTTTCCCTAACGCCTTCACGCGATGTTGTGAACTCTACGGCGGAAGCGTCTTATTAATCTCGCTGGGGTTTTTTTTTGTTAGTTTGTTTTGCAGGATTAAGCACAGTTCTTTTCACAACCGTTTTGGTCGTTGAATTGGTGTTTGGGGTAAAGGTAAATTCATTAATGATCGCCACATTTACAGGTATTTTTCTTTTTTTTTTGTGTGTGTGTGTACTTTGATGTTCGTATCGTTTATTCCACGGTTTCACTTCAGTGACTCACGTGTGACAGTTGATCACGGGATGGAGGAGGTACCGTTAAAATAGCATGGTTCGTAGAGTTATTATCTGCGCCGAAAACAGCAAACTCAAAAGAAACACCGTTTCACCCCTAGCCCGATCGTTTCGCTCGGATACCGTCTCCATCCCTACCGATCGGCAGCGGGCAAAATATAGTGTAAGAGCTGGTGTGCTATCGTACTGATGTGAGCCTTAGGATCCGTTAGAACGTTAAACATAAGTAGAGGCAGGAACGCAAAACAAAAGGCTGTGTCATTCTACCTAAAATTATGCTTCGGCCGATGAGGTCTGAACGTGATCCCAATTATTTTATACATCGTCACGCATCGTCTTCATCAGCATTAACTTTACTGTCATCATTGAATATGATCAATGAATTTGGTAATTATTAGCATGGTGAGTAAAATAGCCTGCTCATTTGGGAAAGAATGAGCCCCTTCATTAATCATCAGCAATGGACAGTGATAATAATATGCCGATCCTCACTGATCCATTGTATTCTTCTCTGACTGCATGACAAAGGATTTTATACATGTACTAATGACCTCCGGTAATGACATGGCCCATTCTTTGGACTACAGTATAGTGTCAACCACGCGCTTCAGTATAAGAAGTCACAACCTGTTTACCGTGCTGATTCAGTGAATTAGTTTAATCAGACGATCATTCATGGCTTCGCGAAGAAATAATCCGGCCGTAATTGGCTGCATCCACAACCTGTCACCTTTGAAAAAAGGTGAAAAAACTGAATGGTCGACTTCGAACTCCAAATGCAAGACAAACGGGTACAACTATTAGCACTAGCTATTCTGCCACCTAAATTCATGATACAATTCAGATGACAAAGACAGAGCGGTAGTCATATATATATACGCGCTGCGTACCTATTTTTAATATTACGCTTATTAGTCTATTAGTCAATATTACGATATTAGTCTTACAACGTTTTAAACAAGGTATAATGATAATGACTCAAGTTTATTTAAGAAATTTTTATGATATTTCGGGACTCAATCTAGTCCCTTCCATATCTGTGCGTCTAAAAGTGATAGCGCATAGTCCGAACCAAAGGTAGCAAGTCCAATTCCCCATCACGGTGAAGATCATTTTCCAGCTTGCCCGGTTGGTAACTCTGAGTAACATGACAGCCCCCACCCCCCACATCACAAATTTTTGCTTGATGTACTTACTCAAGATTAGCCATAAGCCCTGTTATGGCTCTTGGTTTTGGAAGGCTTACATTCTGTCCTTGCGCCTAAAATGTGACAAGACAGCTTAAATGGATCGCGATGATAAGAAACTAATGAAAGAAGAAGCTAAGAAATTTTAATGGCAAGTTGTTTCTACCTAAGCGTAAAACGGGTCATCTTAAGCGCTCCTTTAGTTATAGTGGAGCCTTGCTTTGGAACAGCTTGCCTGAATCTTTAAGAGATTCTTCTTCACTCTCCTTCTTTAAAGCAAATCTGGAATCCTTATATACTCATCCAGATTTACCGACTCCTACACGGCAACCATGTAGAACAGTACTTCTTCTTTTTAATAACTAATCAACTTATGCTTATATTTTATCATAAATTATGTACTGATGGTTTTCCGTGCCTAAATAAAGTTTATGCAATGTAATGTAATGCAATGTAATGCAATGTAATGCAATGTAATGTAATGTAATGTAATGTAATGTAATGCAATGTAATGTAATGTAATGTAATGTAATGTAATGTAATGTAATGTAATGTAATGCAATCTAATGTAATGTAATGCAATGTAATGCAATGTAATGTAATGTAATGCAATGCAATGTAATGTAATGCAATGCAATGTAATGCAATGTAATGCAATGTAATGTAATGTAATGCAATGTAATGCAATGTAATGCAATGTAATGTAATGCAATGTAATGTAATGCAATGTAATGGAATGTAATGCAATGTAATGCAATGTAATGCAATGTAATGTAATGTAATGTAATGCAATGCAATGTAATGTAATGTTTAAGAAATAGAAAACATTTTCCATGTTTCTATACAGTTATAGAAACACGCGTGGGAGTTTTGGAGAACGAGAAATAATTAGTGGGAAACGAGCCCGTAGGGCGAGTTTTTTAACGTTATCTCGAGTATTCGTTTTTCGTTTTTCGAGTTTTCCACGTTATTTCGAGTATCGTTATTCGCAGAGGTGAAAACATCGGATTTCAATTAATCGCCTTGGACGATGCGATTTATTATCGGAGTGATACAAATATATAGCCGCTTTATCCAGTGTATTATAGATCGGTGTTTCCAGCACTGACCTTGGATGAAATGACGTTCCAGAGACAAGCAACAGCCATGGCGTACATGAATGATGGATTGTTTACATCAGGGACAGTAATTGGCTAAAATAAGAGGACAGATATGCAGAGAGTTGTCTATATTAGACAGGTGTCTGTATTAGGGAGTTATCTATATTGGAGAGGTATCTGTATTAGAGAGATGTCTGTATTAGAGCGATGTCAGTATAAGAGAGACCTCCGTATTAGAGAGAGGTCTGTGCTAGAGAGATATGTGTATTAGAGTGATGTCTGTATTAGAGAGATCTCCGTATTAGAGAGAGGTATGTATTAAAGAGATGTTTGCATAAAAGAGATTTCTGTATTAGAGAGATGACTATATTAAAGAGTTGTTGTCTGTATTAGAGGGATTTCTGTATACGAAATATGTCTGTATTAGAGAGGTGTTTGTATTAGAAAGATGTCTGTATTAGAGAGTTGTTTGTATAAGAAAGATGTCTGTATTAGAGAGGTGTTTGTATTAGAGAGATGCCTGTATTAGAGAGTTGTTTGTATAAGAAAGATGTCTGTATTAGAGAGGTGTTTGTATTAGAGAGATGCCTGTATTAGAGAGGTGTTTGTATTAGAGAGATGTCTGTATTAGAGAGGTGTTTGTATTAGAGAGATGTCTGTATTAGAGAGGTGTTTGTATTAGAGAGATGTCTGTATTACAGAGATGTTGCATTAAGACCGTTTCCCACCAGACGGATTTTTTCGATCGAACGAAATTTTTCGCTCGATTTTCTTTTCAATTTTGACCGGTCAAGGAACATCCGCTAATTCTTACAATTGAAAAGAAAATCAGACGAAAAAATTTCGTTTTGTCGAAATATTATACGCCTAGTGGAAAACCGCCCTTAGACAGGTGTGTTGGTATATCAATTATATAACAGCCTCACCTGGACGTCGGAATAAAGGAATTCAATTATCTCGATTAATGGAAGGAAATCTTTGAACTACAAAACAAAAAAGCTATAGGTTAACCTAATAAAAATCTGTTTAGAATGAGAATAACAAGCTCACGAGCTAAGATTCAAAAATGACAAAACATTCAGCAGTATAGAGGTAGATTTAACGTAGATTAATGGACACGGAAATTCAAAATCGAAAAATTGCTTCCCAAAATCGGTAGAGAATTTGAATGTGTCTAATTAAAAAGGCTAAGCCATATTAAAAATTAACTCACAAAGCTCTGTTTAAATGAGACTCGAAGTGATCGAATTGACAAACCCAAGAAAGGTTTGATTAACATGAGATACTGATTTTTTGGGTATATTTATAAGGATGCTTTCCTTTAAACCGTAAAAACGGTCCGACTGGTTCTGTTGTATTTCAGTACAGACAGATTACTGATATTTTAGAGTATTTCAGAAACCCTGCAATTACTTGGGTATAGCGTTATTTACATCGGCCAAGCAGGGTAAATACAGTTTCACCACTTTATTCTTAACGAAATAGTCTATTTCAATTATGAGCAGTTTGAGCATTTTGGCCGCTTACTTAAGGGGAATCACGCGAAGATAAACCTACAAATATGCAATTGACTTTGAACAGTGAATATTACGCAAAATACAACTGTAATCCCCTCCACTATCTAACGAAACATAACGTGGCAAACAGCGCCAAACATTAAAACACATTTGCAAGTAAACCCAAAAGGTTTCCATTTCATGCCTCAATTTTCACGGTTAAGACTTCACCAACTTAAAGATAGCTCATTGTCGAATACAAATTTCAGTTTAGGTTCGCCGTAAACGTCAATCTGAGGGGCTGTTTTCATGAGCCCGGTTACCCGAGATTCAACGAAGCGTGAGATGATTTTGAGGTATTGAAATGAGCAGATAACATGATCCTGGCAGTCGTATAATCACCACAACAATAGCATGTGCTTGTTTGGTGTCATAAAGACTTATTTCAATACCTCAAAGTCCTCTCACGCTTCGTTGAATCTCGGGTAACCGGGCTCATGTAAACAGCCCCTTAAAGTGCCTATTACCAATCAATGAAACCGAATTACTTTTTTGGGCCACTTGTTACAAACACAAACAGTCAAATGGTTTACCTCCCAATGGGTATTTCCTGCGCCCCAAAGTTGTAAAATGAACCATATTAAATAATCACGTCCTTTGTACCATTTCGCCTCATGTACCTGAAAAGTTCCATATTCGCACAAGGATAGAAATTTACGAGTTAAAGTGGAAGCACTGAAATAGATGTCCAAGAAATTAAAAAAGCTTTTTGTTGCAAGACAAACGGGCTAAAATTTGCTCTTATTGAAGGTTTGAACGAAATTTTACTGTATACCTTCTCGTTTAGGGATGAGACAATGGCTGTGAAGGTTAATAAGTTAAACAGGACATATGTAATCCCAAGACTGGCCAATCGTTGCCATGCCGACGCGACGTTTTCGGTATTAGCTTCCACTTCACATTTCTCAAGAGCCTCCATGACAAGGTCCACAAATATTTCATCTAAGACGGGGCATCTTTCTCGAACCTAAGTGATGCAAAAGAAAAAAATTAAATCAAAGCTAAACTAATTTTATCTATACTAGATATTTCTATCAGTTCTAAACTGTTCTTTCTAGATGTGTTGTAAGGATCATCTCTTATTGATCCAGTGTTACTACAAGAGGAAACCTAAACTAAACTAACTTTATTTATACTGAATAGCTCTATCAGTTCTAAACTGTTCTTTCCAGATGTGTAGTAAGGATCATCTCTTATTGATCCAGTGCCACTACAGAAGGAAAACTAAACTAAACTAACTTTATTTATACTGAATAGCTCTATCAGTTCTAAACTGTTCTTTCTAGATGTGTAGTAAGGATCATCTCTTATTGATCCAGTGCCATTACAGAAGGAAAGCTAAACTGAACTAACTTTATCTATACTGGATAGTTCTATCAGTTCTAAACTGTTCTTCCTAGAGGTCCAGTAAGGATCATCTCTTTTTGATCCAGTGTTACTACAGGAAGAAACCTAAACTAAACTAACTTTATTTATACTGTTCTAGCTTCCTAGAGGTCCAGTAAAAATCATCTCTTATTGATCCAGTGTTACTATAGAAGGAAACCTAAACTAAACTAACTTTATTTATACTGGATAATTCAGGCTTGGTTCAGTCAGATTGTTTCATTTTTTAATCCTAAAAACCCATAGTATTAACTGTGGCTCACCGATTTATTTAAACTGAGAACGGTAATTACTGTTTCCCTAGAATGCGGTTGCCTCAAAATTGCTCGTAGGAGCTCATATTGTCTTCCAGATATATCCTGAAAGATGGTAAAATGGAAAAGAGAGTTACTTTTTCGTTGAAGAAAGATACAAAGGTTCTCCTACTAAAGAGTTACAACAGTGATTACCAAGACAAGGTTTGACGTCAAAAAATTGTGGAAATCTAGGTAAAGCGAGAGTTTTATCGAGATATTTATAGGCAAAAATCATCTATAGATCTTATCGAGATCTTTATAGGTAGATCGCTAAGGAAATATAGCAAAATAACCTAGCGTTTTATCCTTAAAATGATTCGTTACAGTTCTATCTTTCTCATAATAAACACGAGAGGAGGCCTCTGAAATCTTTTCCTCGACCTATCATGTATATTTATAGAACCACAGTTAATGGAATACACATGGTTTGGAGACCACATAAAACTACAATACAACTCATTAACTATGTTGAGATAGATTTATGCAAAAAATTGTTCCTTTCTCATCACGCGTCTATTGTATTTTGGACAGATAAACCAATAGCAATCTTATAATTAACATATTTTTCTAGTCAAGGTTGAGGAGCTGAGCAAGACGAATGCCATTGGTAAATTTGGCTAAAATACAATAGACACGTGACGAGAAAGGAACCATTTTTTGCATAAACCTGGACAATAACATAGTTAATGAGTTGTAATGTACTTTTATTTAGTCTCCAAACCATCTATATTCTATTAACTGTGATAGAACAAAGAGTCTAAGACTATTGATAAATGCTTAAATACTAAAAACGGCCGTCGAAAGTGTTTATTATGAAAGGTAAAACTGTATGTAACCAATCTTAAAGATGATGTAAAGTCCGTTCTGAGCATATATTCTGCGCATAACAATGTTTGTTTACGTTGGTTATATAATCTTTACATGACGTATGCGTCGTTATAATTTTCTTATTTTCTTCTCGCTCGACCGGCTGTGATCTGTGATGAATATGTTTATTTTATATTATATTTTGAAGAAAATATTGTTATATTTTGAAGAAAATATAAAGCGAAGCTTGTAAATAAACCGGCCGTTATTTAAAACGTTATATATTTGTAATTGTAGGACAAGCGAGAAGGTAGCGTCTGTAGCGACGACAAATAGCCTCGCCATTTCGGGCCTCATTCAACAAATAAATTCTTGGAGCATTCCTTTCAGCATAATATTGCTTTTTTCTAGCAGCCTTATGATAAGATAAGTTATCTTCGTCACTCGCAATTCGAGCCAATATCGCATATCATTAACATTCCAAAAGTTGCTCCCGCACTGATGGAATGTGTTGATGCGCGGAATATATGCGCAGAACGGACTTTACCTCATCTTTAAAGATTTGAGATTTGAGTATAGTAATATTTGCTGAACGTTATGCTGTTTATAAAACGAGGCCATTGCATATACAGCACAATCTTCAGCGAGAATTTCTACTCAAAACTAAAAAAAAGCTAAAAGGAATTAAGGAAATGGCACAATCCTTCTCCTATATAAGACACCATTCTAGTTGTATTAGAGTTCACCGAAAATACTCACTCACTTTGTCGTAAGGAAGCTGCACTTTGAAGTTAAAAGTGAGCTGTTTCTGGTCAAGTCTCCAGATGCCAGAATTTACAGCATGTAGCGAGCTACAGGGAGAGCCAATAATTGGATGAAGATTGCATCGGCCTAGAAAGGAGTTAATTTACTTCTTAAAATTTTAGCAAATTTCTCGCAAAGGTTTTTAAAGCAAAAAATGCTTTGTAAAGGATTTACAGAAGTCAGTTCCTACGTTGATTACTTTTTTGTGTACGAGTATTTCCATGCATGTGTAAGTTTGTTGATACAGTTTGCATATATGTGAACATTTGAGTCATGGTTGCCAACCTTTAGGAAAACAACATACTATGTATGGCGTGTGCCGAAATAAAAATGGCGCCTGCTATATACTTCAGCGTTTTGCGAACTATTCAGCGAACTATTACGAACCTGAAACAGTAACCAGATGTGCCAGCGGTCTGAACCCATCAACAAAGTCGCTAAGAACTTTAGATATTGCCTGTGAACAAAAATGTACACTTTACCAAAACAAAGACTTGCATTTCCTGAACTCTATGTGAACTGGAACGATAGGTCCCTTAGCAATTTTCAAGCCAAATTGGGGGATCAGTGCCAGTCCCCTTTTATCGCTTACGTAAGCACTGTTGACGCACGGTGTTCAGGGAGACTGGCACCCACTGGTCTCCATATATAAAAACAATCAGAGTATTCAGATGATACAATAAAATTACTTTGCCTATTTTCCTCTTTAACAAAACAATATCCATTGACTTACCCAATGTGGGTAAATTTTCCCTTCAGGATAAATTTTCAAAATCTGAAATAGTAAATACGTATGTTCTAAAAATCTGATGAGTTTAAAAACATTTTCCATGTTTCCATAAGGTTATAGAAACACACGTGGGAGTTTGGGAGAACGAGAAATAATCAGTGGGAAAACGAACTCGTAGGGCGAGTTTTTCCGCGCTATTTCGAGTTCTCCCAAACTCCCACAAGTGTTTCTATAACTGTATAGAAACACAGGAAAAAATGTTTTAGATTTCTTTTATAATATAACTCAATAAAAATATTTTGTACAAATATCATAATTCGATTCAATTACAAATTCTTATTACATCGCTTCGCTTGTCAAGTTCGGCGGGAAAATCCCCGTGTTTCTATACAGTTTTAGTATACACCCGTCTATTGTCTATTACAAATCCTACATTCTGATTAGCTACTCAACCATTGTCTATTCGTGATGGGGAACGTTTGGGAAAAACTCGCTAGCGCGACCGTATAAAATTGAATTAATTGAATTATTTTTCGGTGTAATTGCGGTGTATCGATTGTTTTTTCGAAATTAATATATCTAGGTATAGGGTGTATACTCGTTCGCTGCGCTCATTCATTCGATATCAATATCATTCTCAACACTCGAAATAAATTCCATATTTCCGCGCATCCATGCATTATTCTCTATGTAATCACCTCGCCTTCGGCGACTATTGCTAAGTGAAACTAGTACGAAGATCTCTTTAGGATGTCTGACGATAACTCCTGTCGTACTCAACGACAGGCGGCGATCCATTGATGCATACTTTATTTATATACTCATATATAATGTACTTCGATTGGGATTTGACCATTCGCTTTTGTAATGAAACATAAAACCATCAAAATAATGGTTTTTGACTCAGATTTCATAATTGAGAAAAATTAGATTTCGCAATATCAGGCATTAGTTTCGCGGAAGTGCTTTTACTAGGAAATAAACATTTAGTATTGTGTTACGTGCTTACAAATACTTTGTTGTCGTCTTTAAATCAAACTGAAAGTAATTTCTATTGCGTTGACAACGAGCCGAAATGGGCAGCGAAGATTTATTGACGAAATTCGACGAGTTAGTGAAGCGATTTAAGAATGAATTTGACGAAATTATCGAAGCCGAGAGGGCAAAGATGAAAGTCGAACTTGAAGCGTTTAACGAAGAGAAGAAACGAATGCAGGCCTTCGTAGTCAGAGATGATGATATCATCCAGTTAAATGTTGGTGGACAAAAATTCACAACTAAAAGATCGACCCTCTGTCAGGTTGAAGGTTCCTTGTTCGCTACAATGTTTAGCGGTCGCTGGGAAAATGATGTCGAGCGTGATCAAGATGGCGCTGTATTCTTTGATTTTAACCCTCAATATTTTGTTTATATTTTGGATTATTTGAGGGCAAAGAAAATTGCGAATCCAGAGAATGCTCCACCATTGCCTAAAGTTTCTGAAGATCACGAGGAAAATTTCTATAGTCTGGTTGAGTATCTTGGCTTGAGTGAAGAGATTGTCGACCGTAGTAAATTAGTGCCCAGCAAGAGCATTGCTTCGCCCAGTGAGAAATTCAGCTTGCACAGCCAAGGAATCGCTCTAAAGGAACACCGGAAAGTCGCAGTTCATGATGGAACTGTGAACCATAAATATGTTCTTGGTGAAAATATTTACAAGCAAGGAATTGTGAATTTCAGGTTGAAATTGGAGTCGTTTAAAAACAATTCTTGGATGTTTGTTGGTGTGGTGGTAAAAGGAAGCATTCCTCTATCAGATAACGAATCTTATAAATGGGGTGGTTCATATGGCTGGGTTCTTGGTTCCAGTCGTGTTAAAGCAGTATGCAAAGGTGGTTCACGTACGGACGACACCAGTTTAAGAGGTCAGAGTAAACAAGATGACACGGTTGAGATACGGGTGGATTGCGACGCAGGCAAACTGTCGTTACATTTACCCACTGGTAAACAATTTCACATCGATATACCAAAGAACGAAACATGGAGACTAAATGTAAATTTGCTTTATGAAAATGACGCAATACGCATTGTCGGTGAATAATAGCAAAATTTAGGAAACACGACCTCAAGGTCCGTTTATACACTTCAATCAAGAAACTTCAATCGGTTCAAAATTTTGCAAGTAAAACAATCACAGGATCTAAGAAATATGATCATGTAACCCCATTACTTAAAGATCTGGAGTGGCTGACTGTCGACAAATTGCTCTATTTCCGTGATGCGGTTATGACTTATAAATGCATGAACACTTTAGCGCCAAAATACCTCTGTGATATGTTCGAGAAGAGAACTTCTATTCATGGTAGGTCAACTAGGTATTGCAACTTAGTACAAATACCCCGGTTCAAAACAAGTACAGGTCAACGGTCATTTGCGTATAGAGGAGCTGTGATTTGGAACAACCTAGATAGTAAACTGAAGGAATGTACATCACTTAAGACTTTTAAAACTCATTTGAAAGATCATTTACTGTCATTTTAGCCTGTTATCGACATTGTAAATACTATTAGCTTTTTAACATTCTATTAAACATAGTTTAGTTTTAATTGTAAATTATCCAGTATAATATAATTATTTCTTAAATATTGTAAATAGGTTCTGAAAAACCCTTCTGGGAGAAACTATTAAAATTATCTATCTATACACTTGCGATTTTTGCTGCGATTTTCTTCTTTTGATAGATGTGAATGAGTGAATTAGTTGCGGATGTCCAAATAAGAGCTCTTATACATCAGAGCAACTAGTCACATCTACTGATCTACCAAAAGAAGAAAATCGCAGATGATCGCACCTAAAATTGGAGGTGTAGACGGGCCTTAAGATGACGTGAAAATGGCGTGGATATGGCGAATCACAACCACAGATCAGTGAGCTCCACATATATCTCCAGATATATGAACTTTAGGTGCAAAAAGTGAAGCAAAAGATGGCGAAATTTGAAGCGCTATAGTACGTCAGTTTCAGTCTCCTAACTCGCGCGGCCAAATATTTCTCATTGTTTTTGACCGGGAGTGACGTTCCCGAAACCCTCAGATTCTCGTGTTTTTCATCATTTTGAGAGCACAAGAATGGAAAAAATTGATTCATTTTACTGAGAATCTATTTCTCTGCATCTACCCGATGTGGGTGCCGCATTTTCCGACTGTACGAGTGAGTAAATATGCATTTTTTGCCATAAATTCAACTACGCATTTCAGATTTGTTTAATTTTGAGTTATTTTCATATATTTCCATCTTATGTTTTAGCGGTTCTTGTTTCGTTTTTGGTTTCGAAACGCTTTAACAATAGTTGTCCTTTATTTTTTGGCCAGCTTTCCTAGAATAGGAATTTCTTTTGTTTACAAGCACAATAGCTTAACTTACGGATTTCTTTTGTAAGCACAATAGCTTAACTTAGCACAATCTATTTGTAAGCACAATAGCTTAACTTAGCACAATAACTTTAAAATTATCAATAAAAAAATGAATAAAGCCAATTTAATTTAACATAGCACCAATGAATGAGACCAACTTTTGAATAAGAGGCCAACTTTTGACTTAGGCCGCAAAAGGGGAATTTCCAAAAAGTGCATACAAAACTTAGTAAAATGGCCAAGTTTGGCTGCGAAATTTTGTAAAGTGCCGAAGATATAGCCACGCGAAGTTGGCGAATTTTGTATACTTTTGTATTATGGCCGGATGTGAGTAACTAAGTTAGTTAAGCCCCATTTACACTACACTCGATTTATTGGCACGGCACGGCTAAAATGGGTACCCGTGCCCAATTTTACTAGTGCTCAGGGTACCAAAACAAAGGCCGGGCACGGATGAAGTGGGCACGGGTACCCATTTTAGCCGTACTGTGCCAATAAATCGAGTGTGGTGTAAATGGGGCTTTAAACGCTTCCCGGCTGTAGTGCAAAATTGCCTACTTCACATGGCTATATTAGTATATTTCCCGTACTACGTGACATTTTGCAGTCAAACTTGCTAATAATACTAATTTCAGGATGCTCTTCTTAGCTGTGGTGATTTATTTCCTTCTTGTTAGCTATATCATAAGTTGGTCTATTATGCAAGTGGTCCATTAGACTTATGATAATTTGCAAAATGCCATGGGAAGGATAACCCACTCGTGCTTTGAAAAAGGACTTATCGCCGATTGAGTTCAAAACTACCCAATTTCAAAATCAGCATTTAAAGAGTGGTGTATTAAGTTTTACTCACTACAGAACAACATTATTCGTTGGTAACCGTCATCGTGACTCGTGAGGTAGTTACCATGTTAGCAAGTTACCATAAGTTTAATTAACGCTATATGTTTAATTATCTGAGATTCATTCATGTAGAAGTTATGATAATATATCGGGGTGGGGGGGGGGGTAGTGTACATCCTTATTTGTACATCCATAAATCATTAAATAACAAAAAAAAATTGCCGTAAATTTGCTAGTAAATTTCAATTTAAATCCACCGACGTTTAGATGAAAAATATTATCGTCCCTTTGACGCCCGCTCTCATTTTCGTCTCTGGACAAAGAGGGCAAAGATGAAGGCGGAAGTCACAGACCACGAAAATTTTAATGCCAAATTCCTTCTCCAATCGCTTCAGATTGCTCTAAACAACTCCATCAGACCAAGAGATGATTCTTAGCCGTAAATAGCTGTTCACCAACATTTAAATTTACCATTCGTTTGAGGCCAAGACGGAAGATTTCATAATTTAAGCCAAGATACTCAAGAAGAATGTTGAGATTTCGCTTAATCCTTCGGGATCTTCGGAACTGTTGCCAACATTGCTTGAAGTTGTAATCTTTCTCGATCGTAGATAATCCGAAATCAGACCACCAAATTGTGGAATAAAATCAAAATACACAGCGCTATCTTGATCACGCTCAGCACTATCTTCCCAGCGACCGCTAAAGATTGTAACGAACCGGTTGAAGTTAGAAAACTGATGTTTGTAAATTTCAATTTAATGAAATGAAGAATATTATCGTCTCTTTGACGTCCGCTCTCATTTTTGTCTCTGGACAAAGAGAGCAAAGATGAAGGCGGAAGTCACAGACCACGACAACTTTAATGCCAAATTCCTTCTCGAATGGAGTGTTATAAAGACAAAATCAGGCCGTACCAAATAAAATTATCAGCTAAGCCGATTTGACGAGGATCAACAATTTTTAAAATGATACGCATGGCCATGAATAAGTCCAAAAGGAAGCTCTGAACTCCATCTGACCAAGATATGATTCTTAGTGGTAAATAGTTGTTCACCAACATTTAAATGTACCATTTCACCGTCGTAGCGACAATGATATGATTCATCTAAACGCTTTTGAACGCCTTGTTTCAACTCAGCTCGGAATATTTCACAGTTTAAGCCACGATACTCGACAGGAATGTCTCGATACTCAATCTTCAAAAATTTTTGGAAGTGTTGCCGGATTCCCTGGAGTTTTAATCTTTCTCGATCGTAAATAATATAAAATCACGCCAAAATATTGCGGATTAAAATCAAAAGCACCATCTTGAGGACGCTGGACACCATCTTTCCAGCGACCGCGAAACATTGTAGCGAACAAGGAACCTTCAACCTCACACAGAGTAGATTTTGTAAATTTTTGTCCACCAACGTTCGGATGCATAAATGATATCATCGTCCCTGACTACGATGGCTTGCATTCGTTTCTTGTTCTCGAGAAAACCATCGACATCCGCTTCATTTTTGCCGTCACAGATCGAAGGCTGAAATGAAAGCGGAAGTCGGTGGCTCACGATAGTCTCACTAAATAAATTCGCAAATCTCTCCAACAACTTGTCTTCTTGGGCTTCGCTAACAAATCTTCGCTGCTTAGTTGTGCTTTGTCTTCCAGGACATTCAAGTGTATAAAACTAAACTCTTTTATAGAAAAATTTAACATTAAATGTTTACCTTTTAATGGCATTCTATTTAGTCGTAATCATGTCAAGGTGGCTGATGTGACAGAAGTCTATTTGCGCACAGTTAAAATTGACTGATTTGAATACATGTATATTTGAATACTGCAGAAATAAAGACACCCGGACTATTTCTCATCGGTGAAAATGACTTGTTCACGACATTTACGACTTAATAAAGCTCTCTGACTTTCCCTCATCAATGAGTGAAGCCAAGATGGCAATCTCGTTCCCCGAGCCCGCAATTTCTCTGGCGAGAAAACAGAGGCTCTGGGATAATCTTCCGGCTTCATATTCCGCCATCCTGCATGGCTTCAAAACTTTCGCAGAGCTAGCGTTTCAGTGCTATTTGAGTTCACTGGATTCAATAATTTCAATTCACTCCTTACGTATGAAATGTAGCCTGTGATTGATAAAGCAGTACTGCATTGGCTGTATTTCATTCGCTCTCAACATACATTGGGAGTCAACAAGGCTATAAAACGTCCATCAGAAGTGAAACGGATCCGACAAAATTGGATCACGCGAAGAAACCCATTAAATAGCAGAGTTTTGTTAATAAATTGGCTATACTGAAAATTATACATAGTCGATCGCCTTTCACGTAAGCTCACCTCAATCATAGCAGGCCAATATGCATTTTAATATAACAAGATGTTCGCCATGCATATAGCCAAAACACCCTCCCACCCCCGAAAAAAGCCGATATAGCTCACTATAATAGTTATCCAAACATGCAGAATTAAAGTTTAGCTATGGCTATTTGATGACGAAAACAACTTTTGAAAAATAGCAAATGATAAACGAGCCTAGCGAAATGACGGCTCAAGACAGACTGGAACGTTGAAGCTGGCTGAAGCCCGAGGCTCGATCCTTTAGTTGCCAAGTTTTGTTCACCAACGCTTAAATGTACCACGTCACCGCCGTAGTGACGATGATATGATTCATTTAAACGCTTTTGAACGTTACGTTTCAACTCAGCCCGGACGATTTCACAATTTAAGCCACGATATTCGAGAAGGATGGTGGGATAAGACTTAATCTTCAAGGATCTTCGGATATGTTGCCGGATCTTTTGGAGTCGAAAACTTTTTGGCTCGGTGATATTCCAAAACTGTAAAATATTGTGGATTAAAATCAAAATATACAGCGCCATCTTGATCACGCTCGACACTATCTTCCCAGCGACCGCTAAACATTGTAGCGAACAAGGAAACTTCAACCTGACAGAGAGTTGATATTTAATACAATTTTGTCCAGGGAACCTTCAATCTGACAGAGGGTTGATCTTTAATACAATTTTGTCACCCAACGTTCAGTTGAATGATAGCATCGTCTCTGACTACGAAGGCTTGCATTCGTTTCTTTTCTTCGTTAAACGCTTCGACTTCGCCCTTCATCTTTGCCCTCTCGGCTTCAATAATTTCGTCAAATTCCTTCTTAAATCGCTCCTCTAACTCGTCGAGTGTCCACCGGTAAAATTATGGCTGCTTTACAAAGACAAAAAACTTCTCGACTTTCGACCTAAACCCGTAAGTCGAAACGTCGAGAAGGCATTTTTGTCTATATTTATAGACAGCTTTTATACCACATTTGATCCGAGATAATTCGCAAACGCTGCCTCGTGTTAGTTTCCATGAAGCGTATTTAGCAAAAAGTTGTTCTATTCACAACGATTAAACGTAATAAATATATCGGTGCAGATATATACAATGTAATTATATAGGCCCATGCCTTATATTGTATAGCAGGACGCAGTGGATAAAATAAAGATATTTTATCTTAAAAAATATCTTTTAAGGTTTTTGTCTATATATTTATAGCTATAGTTGTTATGGTTTTTGTCTATATTTAGCTTGTTGTTATACCAAAATTGATCTGAGGTTATTCGCAAGCGTTGCCTCGCTGTTCCTTGCATGGTTATATTTGTATTTAGCAAAAATGCGTATTATTCAAAGCAAAAAATGTAAGACATATGATGTAATAATGTAATGATATGATATTGTATAGAACCACGCTTTAGCAGGACGAAGCCTGACACAAACTTTACAATTATCAGGTGTACACGCGTTTAGTGTTAACGACGGTATTGTATAGGCACATGCTTTAAGCAGAGACGAAGCTGTCTTAACGCCATGCATGCTACACGGTGCAATTTTTCTTAGAACTTGCAATGCAATTTTTCTTTTGAGAGATGTAAATTTGGCAACTACCGAACTTTTGTCTTTATTACACTCTATGGCGTTTCTTACATGCACTTACTAATTGAAAACTCTTCACTAATTTACATCTCTTAAAAATAGAATCCATTGCAAGTTGCAAGAAAAATTGCACCGTGTAACATGGCTTTTATAGATGAAATTTTAAATTTACATTAACGTATAATCTGTTAAAATAAAGATCTTGTACCCTAAATAATCACTATTCAAGGCCTGTTTCAGACGTCGAACTTTTCATTCATGTGCCGAACCTAATGTTAATCCGCCGAAGTCTTCGTTTAAGTTCAATCTACACCTCTGATATTTCGTAGTTTATACGCTATCCCCCACAACTGAGCAACGTTCTCCGTGGCTTAATGCCTAAAGCACTGCCCCAGTATATCAGAATTGTAGGTTTGATTCCTGCCGGAGGACTGAAGTTGTGTTTTATAAAATAGAGACCTCAAGATTGGCGTTTACGGTATGTAAGTAACAAACTTTGTTTTAACTTATCCATCTTTAAATGTGCAACAATTTCGCTAAATTACGAACGTTGTACATAAAACTCGTGATGTTCAGCAGTAATATAAGAAAGCAACAGACCATTGCTGCATGATGTATTTAGCAAAGCAGCAAATTTACGTAGTTTTGCCGGCGCAAGTGTTTCACGTTCGCGGTGTAAAACTAGATGTTGGAAGGACTGCATACACCCATAGCCGTTCAAGTATTAAATTTTATACGGCATGCAAACGTGAAATATATACAGCGCATGCAAAGCCGAATTTACTGCTTTGCTAAATACAAGACTCAAGAGCAATCCGGTGCAATCGTCTTTGCTTTCTTACATTACTACTGAACATCACGAGTTTCATGTAGAACGTTTTTAATTTAACGAAATTTTGATAGTGGAGTTAAAACACAAGGTTTAAATAATGTCTCTAATATTTTCCCGATTATATAGGTCTTAAAAATCGTATATGCTCCTTATTCGTTCTCCTAAAAAACCTCTCTCAAATTCAATCTATAATATTTACGTTTGTGGCACCTTTCTGGTGGAAACCATATCCCTGCTGCAGGAATGATAGTTGACACATTTTTTCTCAACTCTTCCCTGCCTGAATTTGAGATGTGTATGGTTTCCACTCACAGAAAGCAAGACCTTTTAACCCTCTGAAAAGTTATCTAACATTGTTTAGTATTTACCTCATTGATACAGAAATATGCAGGTAGAAGACAGGCATTTCTATCCAGTATAAGACGAATGACCTGTAACAAAAAGTTTAAGATAAGGGGTTGAACGGATGCTGTAATAATACCATGGGCTGACTTAAGGCCCGTTTTTCCATATTTGACAGATGGAAACGAGCAATAAGTTATGAATGCTCTAACATGTAAGTGTTCTTATTTGTACATCCATAAATTATTCACTCATTCGCATCTATCAAAGGGAGAAAATCGCACATATAATCGCAGAAAAAATGGCAAGTGTGGATGGACCTTAAAGTCAGCCCACGGTAAACACGCATGGATTCCCTAGACTAGATCTATTTCGTTAGTCCTGGCTTTCCAGACTTTTCTCATAATGACGTGAAACGCGGAAAGTCTGATTGGCTCGTTAGTTTGGCCAAACAAAGTTTGTGTAATATCAGACTTCCCGCCTTTAACGTCATTACGAGAAGGGTCTATTGAAAATATCCTACCTGTAAAAGTCTGATAATTAAAATTGAGTAGGCTACCCAGTTTAATATCGCGATCAGTGGCTGACCACACGAAGATGCTCCAGTCACATTTTAGGTCAGATTTTTACAATGAAAAAGCTTTTAAGACTATACCTTTAATATTGCCTCGATCTGAGGCGAAACTGGGTGAGATACGACGTTTGGAATTTCTTTCGATTTCTCCAAAACCAACGTGAAAATATCGCGACAACCCTTTGAAAAACGATAGATACGTTAAATTAATCATTCCGCCGCTCCGATTGGTCCGACGATTAGGCTATAGGCGTTTTGATTGGCTAGTGTTTTCCCGCTCTGGTGAAGGAGCTAGAAATCCTCCCGGAGGAAGGTTGAGCCGAAGGCGAAGTGAATATAGGCTTGTAATCACCGAGCCTGACGCGACTTATTGTTTTACTACAAACTTCGAAGTGTTTACAAATAATAATGAACATAAGTTCATAAAAGTTTATAATGATTTTATAATAACAATGATAATTTAACCAGTGACTATCACTTCAGAGACAGTGAATCTTGACCAATCAGAACGCAGGAAAATCAATAGTCACCTCGAAATTTATACTAAAATGACGTACTCGATAGATTTTAACCAATGAAACACTTTGGATGGGCCACAGGTAGAAGCTGAATTTGGGGGGCGGGTATTCATATATTTCCCTTATACCCGATTGATTCCTTTTGATAACGATTGTTTTTACGCTTTTTTGAACATCTAGCTCGGCTCTAGCTACAGCCCTGCTTGCACTTTTGCTAAAAAAAATGGTGTCTTCTATTTACCTTGTAATCTATGGAGGGCAACAATTTACAGACAAACTCGAAACTCTGATTCCATGAAGATTCGTTGCGAAAATTCAATTTTCCTGACTTCATTATGGCTTCACAAATCATTCTAGAAAAAAGAAATCGATTAATTCGGCAATCTCGTTCACAACAGTTAGATAATTTTACTCATTATTGGATAGAGTAGTTTCCGTTATCGAGTCATCAAAACTTATAGTGTCAGTGTCTCTTGTTAACACATCAGCTGCAATGAACCATGATGTGACCTACTTTAGTATTTTACTGTCTAATGCCAGATGATTTTACTCATCAGTGGAAGAGTAATGTCAGTTAATGGGTTAATAAAACTAAAAATCTGTCAGTGTCTCATGTTAACACATTAGCTTGCAATGCACCCAGATGTGGCCTGTTTTAGTACTTTACTCTGTCTAATGCCAGATGATATCAAGAGAAAATATTGATCACACAAGGTACCTTGGCTTTACAATATTATCATCAATCATTCTTTGAATCAAACCAAACATCACTTCGATTTTCTCTGGATTTGACTGCTCCTGAATGCGTTCGACAAACCTTCCCAGAAGTTTAACTTTCACCCCGACGGCCTAAAGCAACCGCAAAAACCACTGGATTAGTACTCGTACGTACTTTAAGGGCATTTAGGGTCATCGAGAGGTAAAAATGGGCCGTAGCAAGAGTGAGCTAGACCGCTTAATTGGGGGGGGGGGGGTTGTATATTGATATATTCATCTTTCTATATTCATTATATCATGCCGTCTGCCACGCGTGGATGCCTCACGGAGCTGGCATTCAATTTTAAGACTAGGAAAAAAAGGCTTTAAAAGGCCGCGTTACACGGTGCAATTTTTCCTGCAACTTGCAATGCAATCTAGTTTGAAGAGATGTAAAGTGTCTTCAAAATGTAAGTATAAAAAACGTCCATGGGGTGTAATAAATACAAAAGTTTCGTAGTTGCCAAAATTACATCTCTCAAACGTGCACCGTGTAACAGGGTCTTCAGTTGAAGCATTATAAAATTTCCCGATTTCAACGAATTCCCCCGAGCCATAGATAAAAGATGAACAGACGTCCATCTCAGTAATATAAATGTCCCAAGGCAGCTATCTTGCTAGAAAGTGTTTTACTGCGTGATATTCGTCATTTAATTGTCATTACATCATTGCTTTTATGCTCTCCGCCGTTTGACCTATTTCACTAATGTTTTGGCGTTTGCGGAGATAAAAATTCATTTGAGAATAAATTTATCAATTTATATGAATTAAAAGTCGACAAATTACTACAAAAATGGCAGAAATATTAAAAATCTCACAGGCAGCCATCAGTCCAGTAAATGTGGCGTGTACATGGTGGGAAAATTTGAGGACACAAAAATAATCAATAGTTAGGGTTGTGATAATACGTATTCAGTGACGAGCGGGAGGTTTATGATTTATGAATGTATAACATAAAGTACGCCACGAATGTAGGCCGCTAGTGCAAATTTTAAATGTGGGCGCACATTCACAGAAATTGTGGGGTTTTTGCTTTTTTGAATTTTTCTACAAACAGAGAGAAAAACCCCAGAAAGTATAAAAAAAAATCAAAAAAAGCACTTTTATTGAAAAAACTTAGGCTGTGTCGAAGCTTGTGCAACCTGTTTACGCAAATAGAGTGGATTATCTTCGTTATAAATCGCTCATTTGGAAGATTTTCGAACGCAAAAGAATATCCCCTTTGGCTTCGCCGAGAGGAAAAGACCAAAACAAAAGTCTTGAAGTTTTAAGACATTGCAGGCGCCTTTGTAGGAAAGATGACTAATGAAAATTGCTTGGTAAGTGTTGTTTGCAATGTTATGTTGTAGAATATATTTGTTCAACCGTTAAAACACATTTTTAGCTAGGTTTTAAAGATTGTGATGATGTTACTCTGGGTTACCGACCAGGCAAGTTGAAAAAATAGCTTGACCACGAATCGAACCTAGAGCCTCGACCTTTGCCTTTGGTTTGCTAGTTCAATGCTCTTAAACTAAGCTACCAGGTCAAGACGGTCGAAAATGTGATATTTGATTAATAGCAATATTAAAACACTTGGGTCATACACATTAAAGTCATGTATCATCCGATCATAGCTATAGCTTTTGAAGAGTTGACTATTTAATATACTAATAATGAATGTTTATGAGTGCAATGGTAAGAATATTTCCATGAGCTGAAAGATGGAATGTTTCATCTTTTACCGAACAAAACATTCATTGAACAAATGGAAACTTACATTTTTTGTTTCCATTGCACGGCCAGTAAAATGATAATTTTTATTTAATGCCATGTGATCAAAAACAGCCAATTAAAAGGCATTATATTAGTAAGTAAGGTGATATATAAACCAGTATACCCTGAATCCTTGAAGCACGATTAAGCTTTGCAGAAGACAGATATACGAATATTTTCTATCCCAATGACGTTTCTAGCTATGGCACTGTCACCCACCTTGATTGGGACATTCTAACAAACAATTATTTGGTTATGGCGTTTTTGGACCCTGTATATCAAAAACTATCAAAAACAACATTTTGTCAGATTTTGTGTTAATTCATTCTTACCGCTTCCTTTCTCTCAGTTTCCAGTAATTTCCAGAAATCCTTAAAAGATTCAAGAAACTTCTCATCTTTCTCTTTTTCTTTGACTTGGTCTCGTGCAATGAAACTATAAGTAAAATTATAACTATTTGTCAGTTTAAATCAATTTAGATTTTGTGGCCTTTTATTCAATGTAGGTAAATTCTAGAATTTTCTAGAATTCTCAACTGTTCCTGGCTTGAACTGAGTTGTATTTGTCAGCTTGCAAGTATTTGTCATATTGATGACATTTGCTCTAATTTAAAGTATTTTATTCTGTCTAAAGCCAGATGATTTTACTCATCAGTGGAAGGGTACTGTCAGTTAATGAGTTAACAAAGTTGCAGACAGATATACCCTGATGTTATGGTGTCTATTGTAAAGATACCAAATAGTACTAGAAATACATGCATGCAACAAACCCTCTCCATCTCAAACAAAGCAACAATTTCTTAAGCTAGCCAGACTTAAGGCTTGATTATGAAATGACTCAAGTCAGTGATGTTTGTGTTTTTCGAAAACAAATACAGCGATAAAAGTGTAATAAACACCACTTGTTTCACAGCTTGGAGCCCTGTAAATATTGTTAATACCAATGTATAATAAACCTAAATCCAGTTCAAATTTATTTAATTTCTTTATCAAAATTATTTGTTACCTTGAAAAGACTAACTGGAACTCATTGATCTTCTATAAATAAAGAAATAAAGAGTTTTCAAAAACATGTCACCCACTAAAATGTCAAAACAATTTTGGAAAGCTCTTGTAGAACTGTAAAAATGCAAAGGATTGTTCGACTACTCTGACTAATGCAAGATGAATTGTGCCTTTTAGTGCAAGATTACTGCCAGTTAATGATTTTAAACTGTGAAAACTATCTGCCAGTGTCTTTTTTGTTAATTAAACCATTGACACCAGATGTCTACTTTAGATTTTACAATGTCTAAGTCAGATCAGTGGAAGAGTAATGAGTTAACAAAACTATCTGTCAGCTTGCAATGCACGCAGTATTTTGCAATGCGCCCAAAATTTTAGTATTTTGCTCTGTTTAATGCCAAATGATTTTACTCATGGGGTAGAGTACTGTCAGTTGATAACAGTAGGGTTATAAATATTCATATAAAGGCAAATGGTCAAGAAGAGAAAAAAAACAATCCACGACAATTCTACCATAAAACGAAGTAATGTTGATCAATAAATTTCGTGGCCTTGCAGGTCGATCCGTTTTCCGATCAACAATGACAACTAGTTGCCTATATTACATGTTATTAATACAGAAATAAAGAAACTAAAGTTTATATCTGAACTAAATAGGACGCTATCACGCTAATCTAGCAGCTAAAGTTATCCCGCTTTGCTTAAATAATAAGAGAAGATTTTGTTCTTACCAGATACTCGTTAACGATAACGTTCAAACGATTAACGTGGCTCTCCATCGCTTTGATTTACAGCCTGAAACGATTTATTCTCTACGGAAAACACGCATGTTCTTCCTCCATTATCAGCTCTTCTCGGCCAAATACGCGCGATACTTCATTTAAGAACATAATCTACATCTGCCTGATTCAATTAACACCGCAGATAGATTAGTATAACGCGCGTTAATGAAGAAAAATATAATATTTTGTGTTTGTGTTTGTGTTTGCGAAAGAAGAAAGAAATCGCGGAAATAGTCGGAAAAGATCTTGTGTGATTGTACAGTGTAGAAAAATATCAATTCAAATATCTGTAGCCCGAATGTCGAATGTTGGCACAGGCTACAAAAATTCATACAATTTGTCCGATTTGTTTGTCCGAGTCGCTGTTGTTTTTAACACGTCAGGGTCACGTGCTTGAGAGTGTCGGAAAGGTGGATTGTGGAATATAGACGGTGTATCGTTTTTTTCACCGTCTATGTTACCTAGGCTACAGGAATTGGTGTTCACGCAGTTTCTACCAGAAAATCTATTCACAATTCTTTTCGCCATGAGTGACTAAAGTTCAATTTTTCTTCTGAATGCGCATTCTGCAATCTTTTGACAGCTCACCAGTCATAGTTGTGATAAATGATAATGATAGCTGAACTATCCCGTACCTATGGTCTTTTATCTGTGCTCACTCTGGGGGGGGGGGGGGTTGGTGTTGAATAAAATGAAATGAACATTTTGAGGCTTTGTGCTGTGCGCAAGCTTCTAATCTTTTGTCTAATCATATTTTGTTACGGCTTGAGTATTTAGAAATCTTTTTTTCCACCGAGTTTGAAAGTCTTACCAATTTCGGCGGGTCTACTTTAAGACTTCAATAGGTAATGACGTAACGTTAGTCTTCGACTTTTTATGAAATGTCATTTCCTGGTGTACCGTAGAAAAAATGACTCCATAAAACAGAACATTTGTTTTATTTGTAATTAATATGAATACAACTCTCTAAGACAAGAAACCCGAAAAAATTACTACAAATTCAGGCGAGCATATCATATGCTCCTACAAATTACAGCTTTTGTACAGTGGTTGATTCGATGTATGACGTTATAAAAATAGGACATAAAATGTATGTTTGTATAAAATATTGAATTCGACTTGAATGCCGTCGATTTGGACTTGACATTCGTAAAAAACGCCAGTCATTCACTCATTGATCTCTATATTACATGACTTGAATATGGATCAAACAACAGACGCACACACCCCCCTCCACTCCACCCCCCCCCATATTCATATCAGTTTGTGTTCCCGCGGCCAATAGACCTTATGCATAATGACGTAACAAGCCGTGACACCTACAGGGAATTCTGGTCTTTGTAGTCACGGCGGGAAATTTTGAAGTTTGAATTTTTCGCCGTGACTACAAAAACCAGAATTCCCTGCAGGCGTCACGGCTTGATACATCATTATGCATAATGTCTATTAAAACGCTCAATTGGCTTCACCCCGCTGTAACTCTGGCTAGTCGATTACTTTGAAATCGCAGCTACGTTTCAAAGGCGGAATTGTTCTACAGTATATACCCTATTACTGCAGATGAAATTTTCAAACAGCACCCTGTTTGAAATATCTACAAATAAATGTACTTAAGTAAAAATCTCACATCTTATTATCAAGATTTGTTTCCTAACAGACTTATTGCAAGCGTGTCAACATTCGGTGAAAACGTTGTCAATTTATAAAGTTAATCGCAATACGAGTTTGTCACTCTGAAAGAGTTCTACCGATGTGATCCAGATGTACTACTTTTGGCTAATTGATAAGCGTGTGTTTGCCTCGACAGGCACCGTCGTTCCAAACTTCCAATATTCTTCCGAAAACGTCTCTAAATTTGATATTTTTCAACAATTTGCATGCAAAACTGAAGATTGTAGCCACTTTATAAAACGACAACTCGGTTATATTATACGAAGATTTTTGGTTGACACGAGTTTCAAATAAGGAACGTTTTTGGCAATGCGTCTCTACAACTGAAGAGCTCACCTCACCTGCAAAATCAAAGCTCTACTAATCTAAACTTCCAGGAAATTACCCCTTAGGCATCGCACCAAAAACTCAAATGCCAGTGTCGAATTGCTAATCTTGCAGCCTTGCATGTAAACCATTTGCGGTACCAAATGGGTGTCAAAAACTAGATTACGACTTTCTAATGTCAAAGCTTAGCTTATACAAGAGATGCCTCTCACGTTACCTACACGGGGTGTAAAAGTGACAATCGTAGAATTTCCAAAGAAATCCAATTTTTTCGCAAAGCACAAAGAATTTAAGTCAACTCTTTGGAGATTTTAGATGTCTTTTAATTGCATTCGGAATCCTGAATGCGTATCAAATTGCAAATTCGTGTAGCACTCATTAACACAAAACTTCTACAGTGTGTTTTAAAGAAGAGCAAACACTATAATTTGCATAACTAAATGCTGCAAATAGCATTTCAATGGTATCCCAGGTCAACTAACTATACTTCGAGGTTTTGAAAATACTTTTATTTTGAAAATACTTTTATTCCGTGTTATTCCTTGAATTGTGTTTTACGCATCTTGAGATCAGTTGGCGTTTTTGCCAACCAAATTTACAATTTTCATAAAAAAGTTTAAAAAATAGTTTTTTCATACATCCTGTTGCACAACCTTCCAGCTTTATGATCGCAATTGTGTATCGAAAACGACATGCAATTTACCCCTTACATGAATCCAATCAAAGTAAATTAATATTGTTAGAGAAATTAACTCTTTTGTGCTTTGAAAGCAAATCGGATTCCTAAGAAAGTTCCGAGGTTGCGATTTTTACAAACCCAGTAGAGCGAAATATTTCGAAAAATGGTTTTCATGTATGTCATTTTTCATCGGCAAAATCCTACGATTCATAGTCAGTGATCAATGATGTGCTGGAATACATTTTTTGTATCCGTAACTACCGAGCAAGGGGGAACTCGTTTTAGACCAATCAGCAAGTTTGTTTACATTTTCAGTAACCAATCAGAATGCATAGACTACTTCCGGTAAAAAGGTACATAATTTGCAATTTTACATGAAGTAATAAAAATGTAGGCATTCTGATTGGCTTTGCTTGAAAAATGTAAACAAGTATGCCGATTAGTTTAAAACGAAATTCCTCGTTGTAAACCAACAATAGACATCGCCGATGAAACACCACATGTATATGAAAACCAGTTAACTCCTAAAACTTCTCTCTAAAACACTAAAACTATTCAAGAATTCAATATGGAATGAAAAATCTGGCTAAAAGTTATTCTCGCTAGAAAATTCCTTACACGACGTCCACTTTAAGATTTCTTCACAACATCGCTAAATCGAATACCTACTCAAACTGTCCAACCAAGTCTCAAGGTGAGAATTTCGCCAGGAGCGGAGTTACCAATTCCTCAAAAGCGTCATAATTTTGTCAAATTACTTGTCGCTCTTCCGCTTGGGACATAAACAAGATTCCGACTACAGTGAAGACGATGCTGTTGCCAATGAACCAACTGGCAATGTCGACTGCAGTAGCTTGTGTTCCAACAACACGGATACGATGCCTCCTCGTTGCAATTACAACACCACTGTTTCCGTTTCGCGTTGCGTTCCGTGTCGCGCAGAACTCGCTCGTGCTCGCGCTTCAACTCCGAGATCACGTTCTCGCGTTCACGATTCATAGCGACACGCAGTTCGTTTAATTCCATCTCGTGGCATCGCACCAGGCTAGACTTAGTCTCCTCGAGTTCCCGCTGTCTGCGCTGCTCGAACACCGCTCGAAGTTCGTTCACACCAGCAACGTGTCGTCTTTGCAAGGTGTTGGTGGTCTGCTCGATTTCGCGTCGTTTCTGCTCGAAAACGTTACGAATCTCCTCCAATTCCTGTTGATGATGCCTTTGTAAGGTCACCTTAGCGTCCTCGATTTCCTGACGTTTTTGCTCCGCTGTAATGCGTTTCAAGTTATCTGCAAACTGCCTTCGTTGTAAAGTCTCTTTTTCTCGCAATTCTTGGATTTCCCGATCGTGTTTCACCTGAAGTTCCACCTTGATTTTATCGATCTCGGTGCGTTTCTCGCTCTCCCATTGCGACTTAAATTCCGTAAACTTTTTCTCCAGCAAACTCTCTTTCCCAGAATTATTACCCTTGACAATCTCATCGATGCCGTTCTGCTGAAGAGCGTCTTCGAAGGTTGCGATGAGCTTTTTTACTTTCATCTTCGAATCGTTGGTGATGAAACCGTCGTTCTCTTTGTCGATGCACGTTTCGGCGTCTTTATTTTGTTGCTGAAAATTTAACTTCTCTTTAGTCTCTTTTAAGTCCTGTTCCAAATCGTCGATGCGTTTCCGAAGTTTATCGATGACCGTTTTGTTCGGGTCCTCGTCGGTTTGACACGACACGGACGCGAAGCAACTTCTGATCTCGTCGGAAGTCGACGGCGAATCGTCCATCTCGATGGTCGCTTCCTAAAATAAAGCCAAAAATATTAATCTTCTGAAACGTATCTACACTACAATTAAAGTCGCATTTAAAGGGCAGTTAAAAACTATCTATATTCAAACGAATTTTAACCTAGACCATGTCAAAAAAATATATTTCGAGGAATAACATATCGTAAAGTCAAGATAAGAACTATTCAACCCAAGACAATAATTTTACGGTGATATTTCGACTTTATACCTACATGAGCGCGCTTACTCGAGATTTGACGAAGCATAAGATGTTTTTGAGTTATTGAAATGAGCATACCATGATTATGGCAATATTGCATGTGCGTATTTGGTGTCAAAGGCTTATTTCAATACCTCAAGATCACATTGAAACTCGGCTAAGCGGGATCCTGTAAACAGCGCCAAAGTCATTGTCAAACAGAATTTGACAATGATAATTTAACAATATGATTTTATAAAATATATAGATTATATTTAATTAGTCAATATATACAAGGGCTCTAACCTCGAAAGCGTTACTACAGTACTGTGCAAAAGTTTTAGGCCCTCAGTCAAATTGTCACTTGTTAGTAAAATTCATGGTATTGCAAGACATGCTTGGTAGAAAGACTTGTAGTGGTCTTGCACTTGGTAAAGCCACCACGAGAGACCATTATTGCAGCACAATGCCCAGCCATTGACCTAACAAGCTTGTTTGTTACATCTGGATCAACAGCCTCATGTAATGCGAAAATGGTCTCTTTAATTCTTCCACATGTCGAGATGGGCTTCTATCTGACCTCTTCCTCACTTATTCCCAAAAATGTTCAATGAGGTTTACGTCAGCAATCTCTTATAGCCCTGGGCTGGTCAATATCACTTTCTTTCAGGCTTTTTTTCTGTATGACATGGTACCCCATCTTACTGGAAGATATAATCTCCACCACAAAGCCATCTCATCTATTAGGAAAGTTCTAGATACAAGCCAAACATACCATTTTCCGTATCTAGTCGAAAATTTACGATCTTGGGACTTTCTAAAAGGTGGAGAGAGCTTTGCGGTTGAGACTTTATCTTTGAGAAAGGTAGCGCACCATGTGACAGAGAAAAAAGCCCCACAGAAAGAAATATCAATCAGTACAGGGCAACAAAAGAATTCTGACCTAAACCTGTTTGAATATCTCTGGGAATAAGTGAGGAAGAGGTCAGATAGGAGACCATCTCGACATCTGGAAGAATCAAAGAGACCATTTTCGCATCATGCGAGGCTGTTGATCCAGATGTAACAAAGAAGCTTGTTGGGTCAATGAGTGGGCATTGTGCCCAATAATGGTCTCTCATGGTGGCTGTACCAAGTGCAAGACCACTACAAGTCTTTCTACCAAGCATGTCTTGCAATACCATGAATTTTACTAACAAGTGACAATTTGACTGGGGGCCTAAAACTTTTGCACAGTACTGTATATATAGCGCTTTTGAGGAAATCTTCGTATGATTAGGTTGATGGGGCGAACAAGTTATCAAAGTTGCCGGTCAAAATGATCAGCAAGTTACAAAACTGACCGGTCAACAAGCATTTTTAAAGGGCGAGAAAGGCTTTAGCCTCTCTGCAATGCATTACTGCATGACATAGCAAAACAAAAAATTCTAAGGAAATACATAATTTATATAATCCGTAAGTGATAATCTTTAAACAAAGTTTGAGGTGGCTTTAAACTTAAGCTTAACACGTTTCTCGAAATCGTTATAAATCTTACTCATTGAAAGAGTATAAAACCCAATTAGGCCCATTCGTGCTACGAACAATATTTGTACAGTACAGAAATATATAATTCGGAAGAAATTTTTAACTGCCGAGTATAAAGTTAGTCAAATTTCACCGTTACCCACTTCATTTGCTAACACTATGTTCAACTTCAGTTTTGACACGGATAAAATTGAGATTGATGAAATTTGGACGAGCTAAATAGATTGTCTAAATTTCATTTGTAGCAATTTTATCGGTACCAAACAGTGAACTCTGTACCCTGGAACGATAACTGATGGTTACTTGGCCGCCATCTTTGTAGCAAATTTGACGCTGAAATGGGTACGAGTGCCTTTCTATTGTTTTTGTCGGAGCGATCGTCGACCGTGAAAACAAAAACAATATAAAGGGATTGGCACTGGTACCCATTTCGGCTTCAAATACGCTTCAAAGATGGCGGCCGAGTTGTCGTTCCAATTTATATCGAGTCCACTGGTATCCATCGAGTTTACTGGTATCCACGAAAGAAAGTAACTCTACCTATTTTACCTATACCGATCTTGGCAGCCTGTTATGTCCCAAACACACGCACGAGTTTTATTTTTTTTTTAGTATACTCACCACAATAGGTGTTTCAATTTTCGGCTTGATATCCCCGCCGGCTCCTCTGAGCTCCATCTGGTACTTATACAGCTCTTGTTGACCATCCAACCAGCTTCGTGGTCGCTTTTTCACATTTGGCTTGTTCGTTATCGGAGTGATATTACGATAGTAAACCCAGGCTCTGAAACGAGAGCGAAGGGATATGATAGACGAGGGTGGAATTAAAGGGTAGAGTGGGGTAAGGGGTGCACGGTAGGGGTGCACGCCCGAGTCTTAGGTCCTATAGTAAACATAGGTACAAGGTAAATCTATTTTTAAGTTGTGACACTTTAAGTTGTGAGCGGAACTTTATTTAAAACTTTGGTTCATAGGAAAATAATGTTCTCTTTGCTGCATTTTCCCCCCAATGGGCCACTTGCATAATAGGTGAGGATGAATCTACGCTTTTGCGATGCACTTGCGATGCTCTTGCCACTGAGCTACAGAGGTAGCTGACAAGAGCAAGCGTGGTTAATGTGTATATGATGGTAATTCCCGGCTAGTGGCAAGAGCATTGAACCGGTATCGCAAAAGCGTAGGTTCGATTCCTGCCGGAGGACCGATAGTTCACCAATTTTTTCATCAACTGTTCCTGGCTTGAATTTCAGAATTTGAAGTGTGCATAATTCCACTCGAAATTAAGACCCTTAATTTGAACCACTTGCATGATATTATAATAGACCAACTTTTGATTTAGGCTTATTTCCTTCTTGTTGCCTAGATCATAACTTGGTCTAATATGAAGTAGTCCATTAGGTAACGAATTCCACCTTTAAGTTTAAGCTGGAATATTGTTTAAATTCGAAATGAATATTGTGATGATGCTACTCTGAGTCACCAACCGGGTAAGCTGAAAAATTAGATGGGAATCGAACCGGCGAATTTTGGTTTGCTATAGTCCAATGTCTTCCAACTGAGCTACTAGGTCAAGACGGTTCGAGTAGTTGATACTCGAGGAGTCTTATGCGCTATTACTATCACTTTAAGCCGCACAGATTTAGAAGGGACTAGATGGAGTTCCGAAATATTGACTATTGGAACCGTCTTGACCTGGTAGCTCAGTTGGAAGAACATTGGACAAGCAAACCGAAGGTCGCGGGTTCGATTCAAACCGTGGTCAAGCTAATTTTCACCATTGTGGCGGGAAACCTGACCACGAATCGGCCAATCGGTGTTAGTGTAAGCTTTAGTTCTACAACAATATCATACCTCTGGTGGCGTGACTCGAAGAACCTAACTAAAGCTTTCGTTCTGTCGTCGTTCCACTTCAAGACCTAAAATATTAAATTTAATGTTAAAGTAAAGAAACACAATATGGACTTACACAAGAATCCCGAAAACGGTAGTCTTCGGGATTTTTATAAAGTGCTGTTTACACACGAGTCCTAAAGGAAGGGCCGCATGGGCTAGCTTTCCATCGTGTTTATGTGCATGAGAAATATCAGTCCCTTGCTAAGAAAGGCTCGCTCAAAACTGATATTCAATGGCAGCTTCCCTGCAAATCGCGCGTCGCCTATTAATTATGAACTTCAAAATAATAGTTCATTACTCATTAGCCATAATCATGCATAGCATATTTTCGAATACTCCAACAGACGACTGAGCCTGAAGCCCCGTTTACACTACACTCAATTTATCGGCACGGTACGATTAAAATGGGTCCCCGTCTCCATTTCATCCGCGCTCAGTCTTCGTATTGGTAGCCTGAACACTAATAAAACAGGGCACGGGGTGTCAATTTTAGCCGTGTCGTGTCGATAAATTGAGTGTAGTGTAAACGGGGCTTTAGTGTAGGCCTATTTGAATCGAAACAAATCTTCGTAAAGCTTCATGCAGTTAGCCTGAGTAAGTCTGCATGATACAGTGGGTTTTTATTCAGCCCTACTGAATTCAGGCCTTAGTGATAATATACCGATGGATTTGATTGTTCTAAAATTACGTTTCTTTACATTTTAGCTTAGAAAATGAAATTAAACTTATGTATAGAACTTATCTATAGAACTTACTTTGGCTGGCCAGGGAGGTTGACTTTTCATCTGCGCCCAGACCAGTTCATGAGGAGGGTTCTGTTACAAATAAAAACACATCAAGTTAAACATTCCAAGTAAACCATGATAAATTAGAAGGGCTGGGGCCGGTTGTATCAAGCCTGTTTGCCCGGATTGAAACGATTACATGCATGCAAGCTTCCACTTCCTGGCAAGCCGAGCTTGCCTTACTGCATGTAATCGAAACGTTAAAAATCTCTATCATTACTTTAGGAAACGGTTGAATATGTAGTTGAGTCTTTGTATATTAAGGTTAAAAACATTTAGTTCGCTTGATTTCTATTTTGAGCTAATCCACCGTTTAAGCTAAACGGGCTTGATACAACCGGCCTAAAGCCTGGTTTCCATATGATGCCGTCCTGTCGCCGACTCATTGTCTGCGATCATCCAAGGAGAAAATGATTTCAGAAAGACAAAAGATTTCACTCATCAATAATCACCGACAATAATACTTTGCCAACGTCGGCGTCATATGAAAACTACGCTTAAAACTGGCTAGCTCGGTCCATGTAACCGGCCCCTAAAAGTTAAATACACGAGAAATTCGGCATTCGTCTGTACTTACGCATGGTCTGCAAAACCAATCCTTGGGTTTGGAATTTGAGAGAAAGTAACAATCTGGACACAAGAGCATCTCCTCGATCTAAAATTTTAGAAAAATCAACACATGCAATTGCAATGTTTTTAAACTATAGTTATAGCTGCAGGGGCGCAGAGTTCGGCGATAAGTCGTTTTCCCAACGACTCAGCAAACTCTTCTTTACTTTAGACAGAAACCAAATATTTCCGGTGCAAACGCACTCTTTGTGAACAGCGGGGTTTGGGAAGTTGGGCTGAAATTCTCACTCCAGACACAGAATACCTATCAGAAGTAGAACTTCTGTACTTTTTTCGTAAGTGTGATTCGTCATGATTCGTCACTTAACAAGTGCATTAAATTGAGGCAATCACCCCCCTGCGATTGTCTAAAATGACCCCATTTTTAATATTGGCAGGGGGTTGATTACCTCAATATAATGCACTTGCTATGTGACGAATCATGACAAATCACACTTACGAAAAAATAGTACAGAGTTCTCCTTCTGATAGGTATTCTGTGCTCCAGATATATATATGGAGTTCGTTGCTTACCTCCTGCTTAGCATCGTCTACCAATTCTTCGGCCATAACAGTAAAATCATCGTCATCTGAAAATACAGGTTTCAGCTTTAATCCCTGGCTTACATTAGTTCTTTACGAGGAACAAGTTTTACCAGTATCAGTATGACCGCTTTTAAAACTTGTTCACACATGTCCTTCATAAAACGCTACTCCTATCATTTAGGAAATGGCTGCTCTTCACCCCTGATTACACGAGTCCTTCATGAAGTACTAGACCTAGCAGTATGGCTGGTTTTAAACCCAGCTTTTTAGAGTCCTTGGTAAAGTATTAGTATGGCAGGTTTTCAACCCTTGTTCACATGAGTCCTTTATAAATATTAGTATAGCTGGCTAACATAGCGTACAAAAGAAATTCAGTCGGGCATAAGACAAATATACGAG